CCCCTTGACATGGAATCTTACCAACATGCCATTTGCTTTTGGATCGCACACGCAAACACACACACACACACACACACACACACACGCGCGTGTGACTAAATTCTCAATATTTCAAACGTTGTTGTTCACTGCTATCCTTAGTTATGAAAATCAACATTGAAATTAGAATTTAAATTACTGAAACAGCCTCATACGCACACGCATGTAACAATACAATATAAATGTTCTGAGTAAAAAAATAAACTTTTTTTCCATGCCAATAGTTTAAATTCAACATTTTTCATAACAGGGGGACAAAGAAACGTCGATATTTCTTACTTCTCCATTGCGTCCGTTTTCGCAACATGGCAATAAACATATACCCCTTTATATAGCTACGTTGGTAAGATCTATGACTCTAAAACTAATAAAATCTTTTCTAAAATTAAAACACTTTGACAAAAATACACCCATCTCCTGAAGCCCTGCACTCGACGGTCCTCTTGTTAAGAGCTTTCAATAAAGTCCATGTTGTCAATGACTTGGTAATAATATTTTGGACTTTAATTGTTCATAAAGACATTAAAGGTATTAAATGCCACTTAAAAGACATTTTTGTACTATCTTAAGTTATCACTTAGCGTCACATGAATAGCTACTGAAAAGAACCTCACACCTGCGCTAATTCGCCATATCAGACGACACAATAGGTCCCACTTTTTTCACGATGGCTGCGTCCGTCAATTATGAAGGCTCGTTTAAACGGTTAAGAAAAAATAACAAGAAAAAAAGAAAAAAATCTTTGTTGTTGATTAGATAGATAGCTAGGTAGATAGATAGATACAAAGGGTTAAGTCACATTCTCTAAAGGTTAAAATCCTTCAACAAAAACGATGGTTTAAAATCGTCAACATAAACACTAGCCAACGTGGGGAAAGATTATTATTCTTGCGCTAAAGAAAGTCTTCGGATTGTCTTTAATGCGCATAAAAATGACCATTAATTCTCCCGCGGTACGGATCATGAATACAGACGCTGTAGTTTTGGTAAAGAGGTGTCATGAACGCGGCCACACTGCGACAATAACACAAAGCTTGACAAACGTGGAGGATGGAATCATTTAAGATAAATGAAAAATGGATTGCAAATTTAAAATGCGGATAATGCTGCAAAGCCTTTGCTATACGTACACATAAGATTTGTGTTGATCTAAAAAATTGCATTCACATTGCTTTCATTATAAAAGACAATGCATTACGGTATTAATAAAGGTTGATAAAAGATGTGCTATGAAAAATAAAAAAAATACACTGTCAAACTTGCCAGGCAGATTTTGTTTGGGTTTATTTTTATTTTGTTTGAATTATGTATTTTTTTCTTTTTCATAAACCCTACAATTAAGAATACAGCCTTTTGTAATATACAGGTCTATATTATACTATCTTTGTATTCTTATGTTAAACACAAAACCCATTTTCCTCTTTTCCGTTTTATAAATCAAATTATTCTTCTCTCAGGTGCAAAAAAACTCAACTGGATGTGTGAAAGTTCTCTTTTCCCTGTCGCTTTTCTTCTCAGCGCATTCATCGCGACTTGTGCCCCAAGATAAATGTTCTACGAGTTATTGCATCTACGCAGTTGACTGAATTAATGTGCATCTATGGTGAAGCAAATATTGCGTTTAATTTTAGAGCTTTTTCTATTCAAGTCAGTCCCCAACCACCTGGCCGGGGGAAGACGCAAGGGAAGAAGAAGATAAAGTACAACGTTTCAGTTGCTAACACGTGCACATGTGTTCACTGAGGGCATCAATGAATCAGCATGGGAGCGCTCATCGTAAACTTAATAATTCTCTTAATAGTTTCTCATTTAGTGAATGTAGTGTCTTCCCCTAGAGGAGGGGCGGTTGTAAAGAATTCAGCGTCAGTTTATTAGACATAGGGTGGTCAGGATTGGAGGCACAAGCTGAGTGCGAACTCATCTGCTCCGTATTTATAGCTAAAGCGACACCCGAGTTACACGTTTGGAAGGAACTTTTCATCACTTTGATAATGTACCTTCATTGGGAATACTTCCAAATGCCTGGTTTGGTTTGTGGCTTTAAAGTGACAGTTTTGTTGAAAAATCATTAAAATGTTTCGTTTTCTTATCTGCATGCCTAAGGATGAGATTAAGCTGAGGAGATAAACGCCGTGAAATTTTTTGCTTAGGTTGCAGCAAATTGCAGAAGGGTAATTTGGGTTGGATCAAGAAAATTGAACAGCAATCCCGCAGCGATTTAAAAAAAGTTCCTGCAGTCAGACGGGAAATCAAATACATGTATTTCCTATGACTCTGCGTTGTAGTTAAAACAGTTACCTTAAATTCCTGGGGTAAATATCTGACCGGTCAGCATAACATTTTGGGAATATGACCTTTTTATTTTGAAAAAACTCAATGTTTTCATTGCTGTAAAATGTCGCTTTATAAAAAATATCAATTTTTATCGTCATTATTTTGTTGACAAATTCAAAATGACTATCATATCAATTAATTTGACAAATTTTATTTGTTAGTCGGCGTCTTTCATTTTTGTGCAAGTTTTCATAATTAAAAAAAAATCTTTCTTTAATGTAGATTTTGAAGACGATGAATTTAAAGTTCACGTTGCCGAAATTACTTTTAAAAAACTTCCGTTATATATACCCTCTACCAGGGCCGCAGTTATTATTGTGGACATTTTTTGCTAAAATGACTGTCCATTTATCTATAGACATATCTGTGAATATCTGTGGAAAATCAATCTGTTGCCCTGGTAGAGGGTATGTTATATATACAATATACATGTTTATGAAAATGTGTGGCTATTGTGCTTGATTTTTTTTGTGTTTGCTTATAATGTTTTCATTAAAAACAAAGTTAGTATCTCATAATAAGGGGCACATTCTGAACAATGGAGTGACTTCACAAAATTTTTTTCCTGTTCAATAAAAAAAAATGAGTGTATCTCTCTCTCTCTCTCTCTCTCTCTCTTTCTTGAATGCTATGATCAGTTGAAGAATCTGGGTAATTTGTGATAAGGTTTAAAACTTTAAAAGCTACAGATACCACAGTAGAGTACAAACAATAAGAAACTTGTGGTCAAATTCGCAAAAAAAATATGTGACTTTTTAAACAGGAGTAAAAAAAATAAGAGGATTATATTTAGGTATATTTGATAGGTTATGTTATAAACGATATATCATATTTTCGCCTTCATCTCAAATGTGACTATTTGGATGATTTCTGCATCAATGGAAATCTCAACCGATATTAGAAATGAAATAAATGTTTTTAACGGTATTGTTATTTCTAATTTTTCTAATCGTTGTTTCAACAAGCAAAAATGGCAGCCACGACCAGAATAAGGGTAAGAATAACATTCAGTTGTTTCTGCATTTTCTGTTTGGTATAAAAGGTAAAAAATTGATTAAAAAAACTGAGTCATTATACAGAACTTAGATTTGACTATCGAGAGATTTTATCCACCTCAGTTACATTAATTTCCATTAACTTAAATTTTCAATTAAAAAGTTCTTTATTAACCGCGGAAAATATTTCTACAGAGATCGCGTCTACAGTGCAGAATAAAATGAGCGATTTCACTTTCTATTCCGAATGCTTGCAAGACTTCAGACATAAATTCAGTGGTCTTGAATATTCCCTCACTTTCCTCTTACTTTAAACACATTTTACACCAAATAAATATTACTTTACTTCCCTCTTGCTTTAAACGCATTTTTATATCAGATAAATATTTCTTTAATTCTTTTTACTTTAAAACGCACAATTTTACATTATGAATATTCTCTCAATTTCTATTACACTGAACTTTTCATTACACCATACTTTACAATGTACGCATATATAAATAATAAACACGATATATTATTAATTTTAGCTCAGTCTATAAATCAAGTTTACATACTTTTTGATCAGCTGTACCTTCAATTGTGCTGTGGTATAGTCTACAATGTGTCTGCAGTGTGTATTCCTCCATACGGAAAGCTTATTTACTCTCCTACGTAAATGTGCATGTACCAGCCGCACTTTCAATTTCGTGGCTTAAGTCTTTATTTACCTGACTTGATTCTTAGATATGTGAAATACTTTAAGCGTTGCCGTTTAAAAATATACTTGACATCTGATTTTGTGAAAATATACCGAAACCCACGTAATTGTGAAACCGCTCAAACAACATGGTGAGAAAGCATGCACCGTCATCTGCAATGTAATGCATATGCATGCATGTATTATTTGACATGATATTATTTATTTATTTATTTATTTTTATTATGTAAGGAATGAAAAATCTAAGAAAACATAAAATAAATTCCTAATAAAAATTTATCTGCGTAGTCTGTTGATCATGTAATAAGATTTAACTTTTCCTTTTCTACACTAAATTAAAGCTGTACCTTAATTAGTAACGCACACTTTACAGAGTAACACATAAAATCATTTATATTGAACTAATTTGTAGGTTGTTAAAAAAAGTGGGAACATCACCATACAAAAAATTGAACATGGCATTATTTTTCACTGTATTGCTGTCTGAATACAGACAAAACCATGTTCCTAATTTTCAACTTCTGCCATATTCGTTTTTAGAAAGTTTCTTTTAGAAATACCATACATGCATACAGTGTTCTATATGATAGTTCAATATTTCTCCCGTTTAAACTTTCTTTTCAATGCAGTTATTTGATTATAACGTCCATAAAATCCGAATCAGATGTTCATTGTGTTAGAGAAGTTATCCATTCAGGTTGAGTACGGCTAACACAATCACGAATACACAACTCCATGGAATGGAAGTACGGGGTCCCATGTGATAAATACAGGTTAGGATAAGTCGGAGTATTGGGGTTAGTATATGGGCCGAATGTTACCCGTGCAAAGTAATTGGGGACGGACTACAGTTCCTAGCGGATTACCATTCCTGTCACACCAGTCCGGTCACAATGAACAGAAAATATAACATTACAAAGATTTCTCTTTATTACGCCCAACAAAATGATACAAGAGGAGACAATAGAAAAATAACAATTTAAAAAAAAGATATTTTGGAAACAAACCGCTTTTTCAAAAAGTTCCATTAAAATGTGTACACGATGTCTTAATAAAGCAAATCTGTGTTACAGCGCATTTGAGGCATCCCAATCAATTACACAGAGGTTGTGGTATTGTTGTTGATATTATTAAAATAAAGAGTATTATTACATCATGCGTCATCATTTCCATGGCATGAACTGCGTCTTTGCTAGTTATAAAAAACGTTAATGAACGGCATATTATGCACTTTCATTAGGGATTACTGTTTTGACATTTGCTAAAACAGCCATCGTTAAATAGAGAGGCGAATTTGAAAGCAGATCTTAAATCAACGTGACACTATACACGATACTAGGTTGAGAAAATAATGGCGTTTGATACCTTGGGATTTGTATCAAAAGCTCAGTAATGAATTAAATCGTGTATCAAATAACTGTACAAATGGCACCAATATTCTGACACAGTCACGCCAGTCACGCACGGGAAAGGTCAAGGTCAAGAGATTGAACACTGTCTGCAGGTTTTTTCGCGGTCGTCTTGCAAACTGGTTTTGCGTATGGTCTCTGAAAATGAACAGCCAATGATATGATAAACATGTAAGGTTTGTTTTTCACAAAATAATATCACTTTGTTAATCGTATCACTTTGATTATCCATTATAAAAGTGTTGAACACAACACGATAAAATTAATATTAATGTAGGTAGATTACACAAGTACATGGCAGCGTTTGTATACATCGTTTGTCATTTTGTCAAGCATTACGATCAGTGTGCATCACGGTATTAAAAATATCCAGTACCTGCTAAGTCCTTCTTCCCTACGGCAGCCAAGGCTTCATACAATAACCTTATGGGGTGATCTCCGGCAGGGACACCGTGCAACCAGATTAACAACATACGGTAACCGTGCGTTTTATAACTGGATTGACCTAGAGATAAAAAGTAAAATAATTTTTTTTTGGAATCAGTGTGAACTTGGAATATGGCGAAGTGTGGCATAAAGCTATTGCAGTGGCGGAGTTAGAGCGGGGGTCAGGGGTTTGTTTTTCGGCGTTTTTAAAGTTCCTTAATTCTAAATGTAAAATTAAAGAAAAAAACTTCCTAGACCATGCCTTCGTTGTGTGGGAGTGGCCAGAAAGCGGTTCTACATTATACAATTAGATTTCAATTGACCAAGACTACATAACCCGACTTAAATGGTCTTCGGGGCAGTTTTCAATTATTTTCTGCAGCTATGTGATGGAATGGTTAAATTAACATATCCGTATTTAGAAAAGGAAAGGAAATATCATATGAATTTGGAGGCATGGGGGCTTGTATTCAAGCTAGGTTTGGCTTATTTTGGTTGTACATTTTGGTGAGATATTCTTGATATGATGTAAAGAATCAATGCCAGTGTTATTGAACCTTTGGATAGTGTAATAACAATCAGGAGGACGCAAGGTCCATAAGGTCCGCCGAGAAGAAGTTTTGAATTCCAAACTGTTTAGAATACTCTGAGATGAATACAACTGATACCTGTGTACTGGTGCTCTATTGACTTAATATGCATCTCAGAAAAGTTCCAGTAAAGCGCCAGTCTTTTCCACTCTCCAGGTTTCAACTGTTTACTGGCAAGTTTCCATAAAATTGGCTTCATTTTTTCAGCAAGTACATGACAAGGCACTTTGAACTGCAATTTGGTCATATCTTTATTTTTCTTTAGTAAAAAGTCCGTTTCTTCGTTATTATTCTGAGTGACGTCAGCGATGGAAGGCACGTTGCTCCTTGACGTCACAGGCGTGCTCACAGTTTTATCATCCATGACGTTCCCACTATCCACAACAGACAGGCTGTCCTTGGCCGGGGTGCAGGGACTGGTCCTTGAGGGTAACGTGGACGCTGTGCTGTCCTTCGTGGCTGTGGATACAATCGAGTTCTTTTTATGATTAGTTGCGTCTCCGTTTGGAACCAACGTCGTATGCTTGGAAGCTTTCTTTCTTTTCCCAACCTGCAAAAGTCATTTGAGTGAATAGATTTTTTTCTCTTTCACACAGCTGCAAAAATAACATGGGTTCGCGGTGACTACCAATCTTGTCCCAAATAAAAGTCTACCAGTTATGCATACAAGGTATTGTTGTCAAAAAGTTACAAGGATATCCAATAAGAAAGCAATTACAAATGGTTATACCTTCTCATCGTATCTATCTGCCTTGATCAGCATATCAACAATGGTCACAAAACTGCCTGCTGCTGCCAAGTATAAAGCCGTTTTCCCCACCTGAAATAGTGTGTAACTGGTCAAACGGCAGGTGAGAGCAAAGAGGGATCACAGTATGAGGAAAACACATCAACTTGCATCGTATTTGTAACTGTGAGACCTACTTCTCAGCTGACTTTTGTGGAATTAATATGGCAAAAACGTGCGCATAATCGTATTTGATACTATTCTACCGTCTTTAAAACTGGCTAACAAATCAGGGGCGGATCCAAAGGTATTTTTTGACAGTCTTCCAAATTATCTTTGTTGATCCATCCTCCAATTTTTACCGTCTTCCGACAGAAAACATTAGATGCCGGACAATGTAATTAAAAATCTGACCGTCTTCTGGAAGACCCAGAAGACGACCTAAATCCACCCCTGCAAATGATAATGACTAGTTTAAATTGTATAGAATCATTAAATCAAACAGTGTACTTGGATTGTAATTTATGAAAAGAAAAGAATACAAACTTTTTCTTTCGGGTTTAAATCTGCTCCGGCTGCCAGTAGCACCTCTGCTACGTCTGCCAGTCCGTTCTCTACGGCCACGTGAAGGGGTGTCTGAAGACGCTGAAATCAGAACCCTCAGAATATATACATGTAGCATCACTAAAAAGGCACGGTCTCTTTAAAGGGACCTCACCATCACTTACAGCGACATTTTCTTATTTATAAATACATGCAATTTAAACCAGTATCACGAGTAACCAAAGTTTACTTCTTCAAGGAAATTCATCTCAAACTGTACAGTCGAATTTGAAGAATTACGTCTGTGAAATGCATTGAACTTTGAGAAAACATTGCCGGGAGTTAGCGTTTAAACAACCTGTTCTTCAAGAGGCTGTGATACCTACTGCGTTTGGCAGGTTGAGCTCACTCTCAGCGTCGATCAGTAAGTTGGCTATTCCACTGTGGTTTCCCAAGCACGCGAGGTGTAGGGCGGTGTTACCTTGCTGAATAAGAGGTGGAAAACGTTCATCTAGACAACTAATGGTGATTTCACGTAGTCTGCTACATGAGACTGTTTAAACACGATTACAATAGATCGAGGGTGGCCTTTCAGGAACTTTAGCCCTAAAATTGGTCTTAACCTTTAGATTAAAAAAGACGCGGTTTACTTCATTTTAAGAAAAACCTATTTCAATTAAATTTGCCCCCTTAAATTCAAAACAAATCCATAGCAGTCCACTGAAATGAAATAAATATTGATCTAAATCAATAGTCATATCTATTCTTGTTATAAAACAGTTTCAATTTTATTCAGTTGGACCACTACTGATTTATCTTGGGACAAAATTATGATCTAAACGTAAAGCACCTTTTAGACGATTTCGTCGGCATTGATGATGACATATAATACATTATATAGCCCACCTGGTTTTGGGTGTCCACATTGCAGTGAGACTGGAGGATCATCGCCACTGCTTTCTCATGTCCCCCCACAGTGGCCAGGTGCAACGCTGTCATCTGTTTCTGAAAGACAAAATCATGGGACATGGACGGATGCACGGATGCAATGATGGCAAACTTTCACTTGTTCATCGCTGTGAATTTTGAAATAAATGTGAACTTGTCAAGTTGATACGTTTTCCATTTGATCTATATTACCAAGTGAGTTTTTGATACGTCTGCGATTGTCTCTTTGACCCGTCCTCGTTCAGCAAATAACGCTGTTTTTACCCAAAACTTGTATGAATAATCAATATATTTTGGTATGGTTTAATCTGGTCGCAACCATTCACGAATTCAGCAAAAATATAAAGCAAATATAGTATTGAGGAGTGAGTAAAAGCTTATCTCGGTAAATATTGAACTCACGTTCGTCTCTGCATTAACGAGCGCGTCCGATTTGAGTAAATGTTCCACGACGTCGCTGTGGCCATTGCTCGCTGCACAATGGAGAGGCATTAATCCGTCCTAAGATAATAAACAATCAGACAGGCTAAAATTTTAGTTAAAATTCGCTCAATATTTAGTTCAAAGTTGAAAAATCATGAATTTCAATCTTAAAACATTACAATAATAATAAAAAAAGCGTTCAGAATTACAACATCGTTTTATGGAACTTACTCGTTTACATTACAGTGTAAAATTGAATCAAGCTTAATAGTAATGATATTGACACAGGTCGTTCATGCTTACATAGTCTCTGTCGTTAATGTCAGCGCCTACAAGTAATATCTTCTTCACCACTTCCAGATGACCGCCCAGTGCTGCTAAGTGGAGAGCCGTCTGACCATTCTAAAAGCAATACCATTCAAGCGTGTTTTACACTGAATCATTGAAGAACCTAATGCGTCTATGTATAATTTTAAATATTAATGTCTAGCATGTCTTTTTTATTTCGTCAGGTCCCCGCTTCTGTGTATACCGCTGCAGGGTTTATTGCCTCCGCCAAGGTGGTCATGTATCTGCCTTTCTTGATTTGATTGTTAACAGCCCATTACAACCCCGGTGTCAAGAAACTGAGGGTCCTTGTGACAGAAAGTCACGCCCTCCATATAGTATAGTTATAATGGTTAGGGTTAGTCCTAAGTGGGTCCTACCTAAGTGGGTCAAAATTTAGGGCGAGGCTCACCTGTGCAAAGTAATGGGGAGTGGGCTCTCTGGTACATGACACCGGTTATGGAAGTTATAAAATTTGCAGAAAATGCCAGAAATAGTTGAAGCGACAAGTTATTGGTGGTAAACTATTCATTTATTAAACAGTAAAGATTAGAATATTGAACTGTCTTGGCAGAGGTCTCTTTTTTTAGTTGTCTGTCTTTTTACAAATACGCTTTGTTGATTTCTTCAACTGAATATAATAAAAATATTTTTCTCCAATATCAGCTTGCCACATTACCTTGTCTTTTATGTGAACATCTCCTTTGGATTCAATGAGTTTGTCGACCACCGTCAGGTGTCCTTTCTCTGCAGCAAGATGCAGCGCCGCCCGTCCGTCCTGAGTAGAATACATGATACTGACGGCTATATACATGTATAAAGGTGGCTGCATTGTTTTTCAAATGTTGAGTCTTGAATTTGCTAGCCTACGAATCTCTATTTTTCCGATGAAACCGTGTTTATGTTTTCTTTTAAATATTCTAGAAATAAACTTAATATCTTCACATACAATTATTTGTAAGCTTTGTTTATATACTATAATGCGTGTATATCGACTGTGAAAGTTTGTAGATTTACAATTAAAGATCTTTATTTACGATAAATTCACTTACTTTTTCTACTTCATTCACGTCAAAGTTCTCCAAAGATTCCACAATGAATTTGACAATATCCGCCTTGTTGTTTTGAGCTGCGCAGTGAAGCACGGTCAGTCCTTGCTAAAACACAATAAAAAAGTTGTCCTCTCACTTTGATCCTTCCAACGTTCAATTATGTAATAATAATACAAGTTCTACAAAGAGTTAAGTTCGTTCGGTAGTTCCCTATTTTTCTTTCTCGTTGTCGTTTTCATTTTTTCAAATCACTATATTATGCTGAAGACATCGTAACAGTTATTACCGTATATGCCATCTTCACAACTCGCAGACAAATGAGTTGCACGATCACGTATACGAAATAAAATCAATACAAGAAATGCGTTTTTAAGCAGTGTCAGAAAACAAATGTGTGGAACATATATCATGCTGGCATTACATGCTTATATATATTATATAAGATTTATTATTCATGAAGAGATGATGCACTAAGATAAAGGATTGGGGCCGATTTTATCAGAACTGCTATAGCCCAAATATTGGTCCAAAGTTGTCGATCCTAAATCTGGTCCACGTCAATCCAAGATCAATCCATAGTAGCCCAATTAAACTAAGTATCGGTCTATAACATTAGTTATGTCTCTCCTGTCATATATCAGGCGCGGTATTTCATTTATTGGACTACTACCAATGTATCTTGTGTTAAAGTGGGGAACAATGTTGGTCTAAATGTTTAAGACACCTTTTAGGATTATATATTTATGTATCTATCTCGTGAAACGTGCCCTATAGCCCGTGTAACATACACGTGTTAACGGGAATGGAAACAGCATTTCACAACATTAATGTTAACACATGTTCTCACCTTACTAGCGCAGCGCGTGTTAGCGCCGGCGTTCACCAGCAAACGCATGACGGTGCTGTGACCAAACCAGGCTGCCCACAGTATGGCACGCATTCCATACTGAAATAAATACATTTCACTCTGCAACGATAATTGTTTTAGGATACATAATGATAAATATATAGCTGCACATGCACATTTAGAGCATACTATGGTATAAGCCTATAATTTTTGGGTGGGTTCCGCCTTTTAAGTACGCAATATCCATTAACATTAAGAATGTATTCACCAAGCATTCTAAAATTACACCTAAACCGACNTATTACAATAATAATTAAAAAAAAAAAAAAAAAAAAAAAAAAAAAAAAAAACGCGCGTTTAGAATTACAACATCGTTTTATGGAACTTACTCGTTTACATTACAGTGTAAAATTGAATCTAGCTTAATAGTAATGATATTGACACAGGTCGTTCATGCTTACATAGTCTCTGTCGTTAATGTTAGCGCCTACAAGTAATATCTTCTTCACCACTTCCAGATGACCGCCCAGTGCTGCTAAGTGGAGAGCCGTCTGACCATTCTAAAACCAATACCATTCAAGCGTCATCATTTAAGAACCTACTGCATCCATATAATTTCAAATATTAATGTCCAGCACGTCTATTTTACTTCGTCAGGTCCCCGGTTTTACGTATACCACTGCAGTGGTTTATTGCCTCCGCCAAGGTGGTCATGTATTTGCCTTTCTTGATTTGTTTGTTAACAGCCCATTAAAACCCCAGTTTATGGAAGTTATAAAATTTGCAGAATATACCAGAAATAGTTGAAGCGATAAGCTATTAGTGGTAAACTATTCATTTATTAATCAGTAATGATTAGGATATTGAACTGCCTTGGCGGAGGTCTCTTTTTTTAGTTGCCTGTCTTTTTACAAATACGCTTTGTTGATTTCTTCGACTAAATATAATAAGAAATATTTTGCCACATTACCTTGTCTTTTATGTGAACATCTCCTTTGGATTCAATGAGTTTGTCGACCACCGTCAGGTGTCCTTTCTCTGCAGCAAGATGCAGCGCCGTCCGTCCATCCTGAGTAGAATACATGATATTGAAGACTACATACATGTACATACATGTATATGAAGGTGGCTGCATTGTTTTTCAAATGTTGATTCCTGAACTTGCTCGCCGGCGAATCTTTATTTTTTCGATGAAAATGTGTTTATGTTTTCTTTTAAATATTCTAGAAATAAACTTAACATCCTCAAACATGTATACAATTATTTGTAAGCTATGCTGATATACTATAATATGTGTAAATCGACTGTGAAAGTATGTAGGTTTACAATGAAAGATTTTTCACAATAAATCACTTACTTTTTCTACTTCATTCACGTTAAAGTTCTCCAAAGATTCCACAATGAATTTGACAATATCCGCCTTGTTGTTTTGAGCTGCACAGTGAAGTACGGTCAGTCCTTGCTAAAACACAATTAAAAAGTGGTCTTCTAATTTTGATACTTCCAATTATGTAATAATAATAATGCAATGTCTAGAAAATGTAAAGTTCGTTCCCTAGTTCTTATTTTTCTTTCTCGTTGTCGTTTTCAGCTTTTTTTTTACAAATCACTATATGCTGAAGACATCGTAACAGTTATTACCGTATATGTCATCTTCACAACTCGCAGACAAATGAGTTGCATGATCAAGTATATGAAATAAAATCAATACAAGGAATACGTTTTTAGACGGAGTCAGAAAACAAATGTGTGGAACATATATCATGCTGGCATTACATGCTTATATATATATATATATATATATATATATATATATATATATATATATATATATATATATATATAGACTTGACATTTAATATGGAATATTTCAGTTTCGAAGGTATACCTAGGTAAAAATACGTTCTTTTTTAAAAAAAACTCCAATCTCATATAAGATTTGTGAATGTAAAAGTGTGCAGTCAGGTGTGTCACTACCAATTAACTGACTTTCATGCCTGTAGCGCTGCTGCATTATGTAATGTGCAGTGATTTAATTGGGTAGTGTTCCTTTGGACTGATCAAAGCTTGGCTTAGGCAAAGCTTGGTTCTGTCAAAAAAGTATCCATATTTCGGCAACTACTGCATAGAAGAATTTGAAATTTTGCATGCAAGCGGTCAGTTTTGCAGTGCGTAAGATGAGTCAAGTAGTGCATTACACATTTGTTAATCTAAGGCTGAATGGCGCGAAAAAGACAGACATAACCAGACAGATCATAGCGCCAAACGGAACGGTCCCCACAAATTTATAGAGTAATGCCAAGACTGATGTACCTACACAGAGGTCACCCCCAATGTATCACAATTTTACCTACAGGGTACAGGACCCACTGTCTTTCGGGATACGCTGCTGCAACTAAACAAAAAACACTTAGTCCGATCAGAACGAGGGGTAAATTGTCACTAAAATGCTTTTTTTAAAGCCCTTAGCGAACACCAAACTGGTTTTAGCAGGTAAGAACACCAAATGACCTCCGAGGTACCCACTGTATACAGCAAAACATCGTCGTCTGTTTCTCTAATGAATTGGGGGCCATGAACGATTCTGGGTAGAACAATGAAACTGCGTGGCTTTCTTTATTAAGGTCAGATTTCACCTGTACCGCCCAATTAGTCAAAACAGAGTTTACAGATATCCAGAAGAGGCCTACGACGAAGCATATGCCGGGTCTAAAGTGACAAGGGTGATTGACAGCGTCAGTATTTGGAGTAGATTCCACATTGGTGCCAAAACACCAATGGTAGTCATCGACGAAAACCTGAACCAGATCAAATAAAGGAATAATCTCGGAACCACTTGTCCATCATTTGATAGGGGGCACCTTAGGAACAAGTCTAGGTTGCACGATGAGGTTGCAGGTTCACACAGAGCACTTTTAATAGCAGATAACTTACAGAACCAAGGGAATGAGCAGCTACCCTGGTCATCAAAATCGCCACATTTGAACCACATAGACAATGTTTCGGTAGACCATTACTCACCAATCAACTGCCTACATGTCCTACAACAAAACTGGACCAGATTGGACAATTTTAGACCGTTGCCTGGAATGCTATTCCAGATTGAACTCTAAAAATCTACCCCCAAGAAATGCCTTGCCGTTTGAGAGCGCTGGCAACAGCCACGAAGAGGCCAGGCGTTACAACGACCATTACTGTGACTAGCAACTGACATGAGGGTCTTTTGTGGAGCGTATTACCCTTTTAGAGACGATGATTTGTAAAATATGGAGATCCAAAATGTCTCTTTTAATGGTTGTCGTATGACATAGAGTAGGCAATGTGTTTTTGTTTGCTTCTCTGGCGAATTCCATTAATGAACTGATGTCACAATGACATCAAAGAGATAATTCAAAGTTATTAAAACACGATTTTAATCCTTATTTTCATTTATCAGTGAGCAAAATAGGAAAAAACTGATAAAAAATTATTTCGAAAAAAATATTCCATATTAAATGTCAAGTCTGTATATATATATATGTATATATATATATATATATATATATATATATATATATATATATATATAAGATCTATTATTCATGAAGAGATAATGCACTGAGATAAAGGATTGGGGCAGATTTTACAGAATAGCTATAGCCCCAATATTGGTCCAAAGCTGTCGATCCTAAATTTGGTCCACGTCAGTCCAAGATTAATCCACAGTAACCCAATTAAACTAAGTATCGGTCTATAACATTAGTCATGTCTCTCCTGTCATATATCAGGCGCGGTATTTCATTTATTGGACTACTACAAGTGTATCTCGTGTTAAAGTGGGGAACAATGTTGGTCTAAAAGTTTAAGACCTCTTTTAGGATTATATATATCTTGTGAAACGTGCCCTTTAGCCCGTGTAACATGTTAACGGGAATGGAAACAGCATTTCACAACATTCATGTTAACACATGTTCTCACCTTACTAGCGCAGCGCGTGTTAGCGCCGGCGTTCACCAGCAAACGCATGACGGTGCTGTGACCAAACCAGGCTGCCCACAGTATGGCACGCATTCCATACTGAAATAAATACATGCATTAATTATAAGTATCAACATATTTCACTCTGCAACGATAATTGTTTTAGGATACATAATGATAAATATATAGCTGCATGTGCACATTTAGAGCATACTTTGGTATAAGCCTATAATTTTTGGGTGGCTTCCGCCTTTTAAGTACGCAATATCCATTAACATTAAGAATGTATTCACCAAGTATACCAAAATTACACCTAAACCGTCTGTGGGAGTAGCATTATCACTTTCATTGACATGTATTGCTTGTTGACACCAATGAAGTTATATAAACCCAAGAGAAAATAGCTATTCATACATTAGGTTTGCATGTAATTCTAAATTCTAAAGGGTATCTTTAAAAGTATACCTTGTCCTTTGCCTCTACGTCTGCCCCTGCGCAGATGAGTACTTCGGCGACTTCCTGGTGACCAGATGACGCTGCCACGTGCAGAGGTGTCCTGTCCAACTGAAAGGTGTATTTTATATTTCACGTAAATGGTTTTAGATTCCATTAAATTTAGAAGGTCAGGCGAAGAAATGCTTAATGCAGAGATTCTTCTACATTCATAATCTTCACGACATCCAGTATCAGTGCGTATTTTAAGATCAATTTAAGATAAAATGTTTTGAGGGCAAATCGTTATAGACTTGGCATATTAAAAAGCTGTGTATGGCTCAAACACAAAAGGTGAGTTATTCTGACACCAGTTAATCTTTCATTTGGAAATCAGTGTTAAACCACTATTTGATTTTTTAAATTTTTATTTTTTTTACCTTTTGATACAAATTTGAATACTGAGATAGTACGTGAAAAAATTATCTGTGAATCAGTTTCACTGCAGGATTTCACTGCAGAAACTATATTTCGTACACCAATCACATCTCAAGGACGCACATCAAGGGTGAAGACAACGTGAAATGTCCGACTATATTCATTGCTCTCGTTTATCTATAGATCAGCACCAACAATTTTTCTTAGCACCATCAACGGCATGCTCAAGGCTTTTCGTTTCGCAAAAATTTTTGGGAAATAAATGTCTAGTCCCTTTGCACCGAGAGATGCGAAAATTATGTAGGAAATGGGGAAGTGAGGGTGCAATTTAATTAATATATGCATATTAACCGTACAGCGGTGTTTTAATTAAAAAATCGCCATAACAAGAGGAGGTAAGACGGTAACGAGGAAACAAGGGCTTTGTGAAACATCTTATTGTACCAAATTTAAGATCGAAACGCGCTAACAATTAAGAGAGCCCATGTTGTCTGATTGAAAGAAGGAAGGTTTTGTAAAATTGAACCCATAATTGAAAATAGGCTCCTGTCTAACCTGGCTACAACGGTAGTTGGATGGCAACCTCACAATCATTCCCCACCTATACAAGTAATCCTTAATATGCAACAGATTTTTATAGCCAGAAAATTGATTTCTGTTTGCTGCAGTAAATTATCGATGCTGATGGTCCCAGTTTCCTTATAGAGCTGTCGTTAAAATAACACATGGCTCTGTTCAGATCCAGGATGATAATTGCGTTCCAAATGACATATACTGTCATTTGCTTATTTTTGTTGTGTGGGTTTTTTAGAGTTCAACTATGTGCTCCATATGATTTTTTGCTAAACTGATCATAACTATAACAAAGTTAAAAATGAATGAACGTTAAATTACTGAAAGAAGTTAATGCTGTAATAGCGTAAAAGGCTGCAAGACACACTGAAGCAGTACAAATTTTAAAAATGCACCGCTTTAGTCCATAATTTAGGCAGAAGACTGAGAAAAAACAAGCAAATGCTTATTTATATTCACCCTGCTCTTTGGAATGGTGTGTCTAGATTCCGTTAAATCATTCCATTCCCTACAGAGGTATTTTAACCGATTTTGCTATAACTAAAAGGGCCTTTGGTAGAGAGTGGAACCGAAAACTACAACACGAGTTTCTAGCGCACGTGGCATCGGTATTATATGAGAATCATTCGATATAACCCAAAGTCTCAAAACCTAGCATAAGTTAAGCAAGATTTCTTTCATATTACAGTCGATTGCTCAATAATACTAATTCACCATGATGTTTGATCGTTATTTTCGTATTGCTTTCTAAGACGACATGACCGGTGTGACAGGACTGATAGTACTAGGAGTGGAAGTCCGGGGTGCCATATTATTGGTACAGGTTAGGTCGGAGTATTAGGGTTAGTAGATGGGATGAATGGCACCTGTACAAAGTAATGGGGAACGGTTTACGGTTTCTAGCAGACTACCGCTCCTGTCATACCAGCAAATGTTAATCCCACCTTACGCATATTCTCGCGCAATTTTCTAGTCTCGTATGGCATCACACAGTGCCAACAGCCTCCATTTAGGCAATCGCGGATAATTTCTATTTCACATTGCTGATGTTTTTGTTTGTTGTCAAGAAATTGTCAGAGGAGAAGTCGGTTGAAATGGGTGGTGCACTGGCTTCTGTTCTGACAACACAACGCTGTTTCCGTTGCAATTTGTCAACAGCTGAACTCTTGTAAGTGCAACGTAATTAATTCACGTCAACATATCTGTCAACTGGCATTAATCACTGCAAAATACTTTCACCTCCAGACTACCACCACCACCACCTTTGTATCACGTCAGAAGTACCAAATAGTTAAATGGCACTACGTGTTAAATTGTTTCACTATATTTACCTGAGAAGATTTTTTATTTCCGCCCAATATATATGCATATGATATAACATTTATCCAATATGGCACACTAAGAGTTGGATCTGAAGGTTTCTCCGAGTAAAAATCAAATACTAGTAAGGTTTATACATGGCCCTCAGTATACAGTATATACAAGTTACTTAAAGTCTACCCAGAATTATGCATTGTTTAGATATATGCGATAAAGATAAACACGTTCTTTGTGAAAAGGAACCATTTCTCAGCGGGGCTGAGCTATCTTTAATAATCGAACGGTTGTCTGACAGCCATAGCCATTACCGTCAACAGATAAAAAAAAGAACAAAATCGTGCCGACGAATTCAATAATAAATAGCAGATAACACATTAACGTCCTAAATATAGTCTCCCACTGATTCTGAGATAATGATAACATCATTCACTTTCACAATCGAATGAAGCAGGGCTTTTCGAATGTGAAAAATTGACCGTGATTTGGAGAAGGAACGTCTTTAAGGCATGGAAACATCCACAAAATGTGCAGTTCTGACATGTTCAATCTACATGCTGTTTCCATAAAACTGCCATTTCTGAGGTTGCCCTAATGGTCATAGCTCTAATATTACACTTCGTTGACCTCATAAGGGATTACAAGCGCAAGCTCGTGAACGATATTAGTTTTATTTATTGGATCGTTAACCAGGGTTAGAGTGATGCAATGAATAACAGTTCCATCGCTTCACTGTAAAGGACATTGTGACAAGTGCACACTTGTATAAAAATCTCACAGTTTTCACAAGTCTCGATATACTTATATATATATATATATATATATATATATATATATATATATATATATATATATATGGTTTGAAATCGTGACGATTAACGGGTTTTAAAGCCATGGCGGACATAAATTAGTAGACTGTATGCTTTTCACCATTATTGGTTGTATCATGGAATTAACTGGGTGCCTCTTCGAGATACATGTATTGGCTTTGAGGTGTGAAGTGTCTTGGGTGTGATATTTCAGTGTGTGAAGTGCGCACACAGGCTGGGCGTGACAATGGAGCAGAGGTGTTTTGAGAATGTCTTTACTCACGTTATTCCTTGCGTTTACGCTGGTTTGTTCCTGAAGCAATGCCTTGACCTTTTCCACGTTATTGATTCTTGCTGCTTCGTGCAGAATCCTTTCGTTTTCAAGCACTGAAAAAGAAAAGTGTGAAACATGACGTCATGACATTATATATTTGGTAGAATTGGTGGGCGTGAGGCGAACAAGATCTAGTTCTGAACACGGCGTTGACATTTCAAAATAGCTAATTTATCCCACACCAAACCCAACATCCATTCTAGTTGGAAAATTGGACTTCCTTTTCACGCGGTAACTACACTGTAGCCTTGTTCCATTATATTACTTACGACATCAATATATAAAAAACATCCATAGAGACATTGTGGTCTGAAAATCATTGCATATAATGGGGTGGAAATGACGTATTTCAAAACGAATTTGTGGCGAATTAAGAGCTTCTAATACATGGATTATATTATTGGATCCCCCCTCTTTGTCTTAATAGTAAAAAAAAGTGCAGTTAGATAATCTAAGAACTATTTTTTGTCATTTGGCTGATAAATCTGCGCATGTTCCGGGTCCCGTTCTTGATAATAAAAGAATATTATACCAGTATATCATTATTACAATTGCACGCACAAGCACGCACGCACGCACACAAATTCTCCTGTCAGAGAAATATTTCTCATAGTACCATAATAATTTCTAAAATGTTTTCTGGTTGAATGAAATGTACAAAATAGACAAACAAGGCAAATCCATTAGTTTTCATTATCCTGACCTATGGTGAAAGTGATATTTTGATAAATGCATGTAACGTACAATGCATCACATCTTTTGAAACGACAGATGCGCCCAAAGCACCAGCATGTGGCTTAGTTCCATATGCGGGCCTAGCCTGCTAACAGAGCTGCTATAGCCTATCAGCAATATAGAGCTATGATGTCGTGGCTCTGGCTTTGTGTATTATATGTCCAATATATACATATCACTATGGCAATAGACACCCAGCAAAAATATAGACAATTATACTCGATATAATCCACAGTCTAGTCTTAATAGCCGAGCTAGTGGCATCTGTACTATCATTTCCTAATGAGTTATTGTCATGTTGTGCAATAATGACTTCACAGAGACATATCACCCTGTTAAATGTAACTGTAAGCTAACATACTGATTAAAAAGATACATCTGTAAACACACACACACACACACACACACACACACACACACACACACACACACACACACACACACACACACACACACACACTAAGTGTACGCAAATATTTGCGTGTTGTGTGTATGTACATGTATAAAACAACAGTGCCAGATCTTCAGTATGGATTCATGTATCTAAAATCATCTATTGTATTTCTTCACAGATGGTGTTTATTTTTGTCCCAGTGGTAGGAAATCCACCAAAGGACCAAAGCATTGGATAGCGTATATGCAATTATAACAGAACCAGTGAGACTGCCTGACGATAAAATCATACCTATCGACTGACTGGAGATAAAATCGTTCTTTATCTTGTTTCATCCATCAGCTGAAGCTAAAAACACATTTCATGGCATGGTTAAGATGCCCCCATCTAATTTATCAAGAAAACATTATCCAGTCAAGTTGAAACTTGGCCATGAGCACACGGAACGGACAGAACCTTAATCTGAGCACACCATTATTAGACATACCAGTCTCTAAGGCTCCAGCAGTCTGGCTGGCCAGTGCCTCCAGCACTTGTCGTAGCATGGTCCGTCCTTTAACGCGTCAATGTAATTTCTCCAGTGCTCTCCGTGCTTTTAATTCGAACACTATCCATCGTGCTTCCGATCAGCTTCGATTCTCCGCTGTGATAGCATTGTGCATTGCGTGGTGGCTTCATTGCCGTATGCTCAGATTATTCTATTTCTCGTTGCACACATCAACAGGCCGATTCAAATAGCGCAGGTCATGTGACAAGTGATACGTATCTCTGGAGATGGATGATATAAGCGCCAAACGTATCTTCATAGCTTTTTTTTTTGAAAAGCTCACTAACAGCCTAAAAGCTATATTCTGATAACATAAAAGGCCATATCTTATATCTCGCCGAGTGCTGCGAAATAACCTGAGCATTAATCTACATCTATATTGTATCTGATTATATCTGATTCTCCAGGGAGTAGACCTTCGGCTTTTAATCTAAACTCTAACATATAGACCATATGTGCTTGTGAGACTAGGCTGCTGCGAGGTATTTTATGACAATTTGTTTTTAAACGTTTATTTCGCACAGAAATAGTGTTAATAATGCTATACAATATATATCACTAAACATGCCATATATGCCTGAATATAAGATACAATGTCATCCATAATGAGTGCGAGAGGCTCTCGGAGAACTCTAGAGCGAAATGAAGTAATGTTACCAACCGCAACAAACAACCGCGACGACGTTGCCAATACTGTAATACATGTTGATGAAAGTTCTATGTTTATGCAGTCACAGTTTCTCAGAGACAATCAATTAATGTGAAAATTTAATTCCATGTCCCTAAGTACTCTTTAGCAATTTGTTGATGGTAGACAAAGAGGGAGAGAAATAAAGAGGGAGTGAAATCTGCAAGTTTATCAGTCTCCACATGTTATTTTATGCATATTAATACATGTACGTTTCGTTCATTCTTCTAAAAATGAAACGATGCATAAATATTCTCCGAACTTTAAATATTCAATATCTGGTGCAACATGGTAGTAAGTGACGACATTGTTAAAAGCGCGCACTTCTTTGCACCTTGTGTATGTTTCTTCCGGGTAGAACAGTTCTTGTATCAAACCATTCTACTTAAGCCAACCTTGTACATACATATCGTAAATTTTTCAGAGGATTAGCTTATCTATCAATAAATTATCACATCATCTGCTGCAAATACAATAGCAAAATGGAATAGATGTAACTCGCAAGTCATGTAATAGAATTAACGCATGGGCAAACAAGATTTATTACAATACATGGTACCCAATAATCATTCGATTTCAAAGGAAGCGCCGCAGGAAGTGAAATAATTGTAGATCTGATAAAATACTTGCAATGAAATAAAACCGATATTTTTTAATCCTGATATTACGGGAAACTGTTCTAACGCTTTCATGCATTCAAAAATATGGTCACCTTGGCCTGTCGCAGACGTACTGTGTATCTTACACTTAATGCACCAGTGATGCATTTGTTGATCTTGAATTGCAAGTTGGAACAGAGGTGGGTATCAGGAAAAGATGCTTTCTGTTATTATACTGGTTTCTACATAATTTTGTGGTTCATTTATATTCTGTACGTATCAAATATTTATTGCTGAAGGACAGAAGTGGTTAGTTGGTTGTCAAGAATCCCCCATTCCGCTGACAAAGCATGCAGCATCGTTGTTTCCAATACCACTCTGCAACATACATTGTACAGAGAACCAGGCTTTCCAGCAAAGTATATTTGTATAGTTGAGCTTGTATTGAGACAGGCTTCGCAACAGCACCACCATAAAATCAGATGTTCAGTGCCTGAGCTCTGACTTTACTCCCCACAGTACAGTTTCTGAGACTGTTCTGCACGGCGCGCAGGGCGTGGAGGGAGGGATTATCGGGCACCAACGTTCAAAAGCCGTCACCTTTACTTTTATTGTAAAATATTTTGTTTTGAATTAAAAGTATAGTTAGTCTACAGCACACTGCATCCTATATTAAGCCTTCAACTGATAGCAGCCTGCGGTTCCCGCATTGCTCTTAAGATATTTTATTGAAAATTCCAAATTTTCTATTTTGGAAAATTCCCATAAAGTAATTCTTAGTAACGGGCCTGGCGCATGGCGTAGGAAGCCATTAATGCAAACAACATGCGTGTGTAACCGCAAGAAGACAAACTAACATGATACACAACATGTAACATTACCACAAGCAACATAGTTCACCCTGGTCAAGTTTTGTTTACTGGGCGTGTTAGCCACAATACAACACAAGCAAAAAAAAAAAAAAAAAAAAAAACCTTGTGTTCAGTAATTTTCACAAAAGATGCGTTTTATATGTAAAGTTTTCGTCAAGTAGACGTATCATTTGCAATGTAGAAAATGTAGAGGGTCAAAGGTTAATGCTGATTTTATTCTATCATGCGGAAATTATTAACTTTTGCAGTTTTGTAAGGGTATTGTTTGGAACACTTTAGAACCCACCACATGACTGTGGTGAAGCTGTGTAGAGGTGGCTTACTGTTGACCTGGCAACTATCAGATCCATTGCCTTTTTTATGTGTAAACTCATCTATGCATAGCATGTTCCATTAATGCCACACTATAAGAACATTGCGTGCGTGAAGTCATTTTTTGCAGAGTTTGATGCGCCATAAGAAAAAAATAAAGTGCGGTAAGTAGTGTAAACAACACGTTATCTATACGTACCTCCTTCATGATAACCCACGGACCACATTGTTCTCCACGTGCCTCACGTGTAGTAAACGTGGAAATGAAAACAATATATAAGAAGCGTGGGTTACTCTTGTGAAATGTGAAATGTGAAACTTTTTAAAAGCAACAAAAACGCAAATCTTTACTAAATGTCAAACTGTTGTTAGGGGACTAAACTTTTTTTAGTAAATGTGCCTTTTTGAAAATGAAGATGACATACATAGATAACTTACATAAAGATCATTGCCAATCAAACCCTTTAATTAATTTCCCAGAAGATCTACCCTCTTCCAGAGCGGCAGACATCATAGGCACATTTTCCACCAGCCAGTTAGAAGATTCACCATATTTAGTCAAAGACATTTTTTGTGAATATCTAGTGAAAATTAATCTGTGGTCCTGGTAGAGGGTAGACGAGCCCAATGATGTGACTATCGTCTATTTATCACTTTCTTGCTTGACCGTCAGCTTTTTTAGAAGTTTAAAGGAGGTTGGTAGGAAAACAAAATTGCGAAATACAGGATAATGTGTATCTAAGGAAAACATTTACGTTACCTAGTACTTAAACGAGAATTTATCCACCACAGACCTTAATTTAACGTAAAAAAAGTTCCTGTCAGCTATGGAGTGTTTGAAAAAGAGGTATGGAACATAACATAAATTCGTGTCTCTGTGGCTATAGAGAGTCTTGAATTATTTATGATACATGTTGCTTGCATTAAGTAAACAATGTGGCACCGTGTGTCTCTAACTCCTGTACAACTATTATAATAGAGACTGGACTGTTTACATGCATAGTTGGCCCCTAACATAGTATCCAAAACTAAAGTATAGTCCTCTGTGGTAAAACACCGGTAAACTCGTCTGCTCTTACTTAACTACCCCGCCCCTATAATGGCTCAGCAACAGAGGATGAAAATGGTGGGGTTGGGTGTAATCACAAATATTTTGTAACCCGTCAGAATGTACAAAGTAAGTGTTTGCTAGTCACTAATCATGGCTTGGCATTTACCTCTTCATTGGTAACATCATCGACATTTAATTGAAAAAAATAAAAGAGAACCTTTCCTGCATCACTCCCAAATCTGAATATCTGCAAGGCAAAAATAGACATTTAACTGGCTTAATACTGACTAATCGGATTCATTTGGATAGATCTATGCGGGATAAGAATTTAGAAGATATGCGCATGCCCCTTGACAGTCCACGAGCATCAACCTTCTCCGTTTTACTTCAATTGTGTTCCATCGAGGGTAAAATAATGTCTATTCCAATCCACAAGGCATACAACTATTGATTAATAATTCAGCAACGCTTTCAATTAAAGGTTGGGTCGAGGCTGATGTTTAGGGAAATTATTGTCTGGAAAGCACTTGTGCAAAAAAAAAAAAAAAAAAAAAAAAAAAAACTTATCTATCATAGAGCATCATAGCTCGTATTATGCTTATTCATCACAGCGGCGAAAAACACCTTAATAAATGGAAGTATAACATTTGCTTCAAATATTATATGTATTACAAAGTAATAATAGCGTAATAAACTGGTATGAATGCTTCTTAACAGTAGGTCAAATACAAGAACATGTGTCTAAAACACAAAAAAACGCTGGTAAATTCTTCACAGCCGCACTGTTTTAACATAAACCTGGTCATATCCACTCAAAATATTCACCTAATTCACCTAATTCTATACGATTACGATAATTATGATATGTAAATGTAGATATCCCGTTACTAATTACATACACAGCCTAACAAATGACTATCATAACAACCCCTCATTCAAATGAATACGAGCCCAGTGGCACTAGTGATAAAATGTGAATACCTATGTCTATACATATGTGAATACATATGTCAAACTGGGAAGATCGGATCAAGGAAAGTGTCACACCCCAGCGACCTTGTGAATGTGGCGTGACAAAGCCTTACTTTGAAAACTGCAGTGGTTTACATGTGGCTGCAGGTTTTGGGTCGCTGGGCTTGTGCACACACACTTCTATTACAAGTTTTATTTACAATTATATATAAGGTATGCACTTACAGGCGGTTGAGGTTTCACATGAGGGCGTGCATTGAACAAAACAACGGCCAAATTCCTATGGGAGTTGACAGCATTCTAGCCAGGCTACGAATAAACGCCTACTCAGTTAATTCTCAACACCGAGAGAGAGAGAGAGAGAGAGAGAGAGAGAGAAGAGAGCAGCAGCAAATATACCAAATACAATATCAAACAAACGTCTGTGTTTTTTTATGTGATATACAAGGCGACGAAACACACTCAAGTGTAAAATATGTACCAGAGAGGTCACAGCTTATTCTTACAGCTAGGACACGGACCCCTCGTTTTCATAGTCTCAATGACCAAATCAAATTCCGAATCATATTCTCATGCCAGCTAGTTAAATAATAATGTCACTTAGGGCCCATTCCCAATGAAACTATCGTTTTGCCTCGATCGATCCAACTGCTCGGGTACTCTAGCTTAATGCAATCAGACTAACAAATAAACACGTCTCCTCTTGTTTCCGACGTACTCGTATAATTACCAGCTTTTCTGTATTCTGCTCAACACCAGGGCGAGGCATGTTAATAAGTTAATCTGAATGCATTCACCGAGAGTCCCTATCGAGAGTCTCCGCGGAGTTGGATCGATCTACATGGAACGACAGTTTTATTGGGAATAGGCTCTTAGTCCGAGTGCTAATTTTGCACACAAGGTTTCAGAGATGGGCTGGTCTTTTACAAGTTCTATGTGGCAAGTAATTACACAGTGGATGTCCTATCATTCTTCTTAATGTGTGTAGTCAATAGAGCAGTGTCAGTTTGATCAATAGTGCATTTGGTTACAAAAACTTTGGGTCGAATTCCCCTTTAACAAAATGCCCCATTAACATAGCACCATTATCTACAAGTACGTCAATATCTATTAACTTAAGATAAGCTTACACATAATGTTTTGTACTTACTGTCGGTGACTTGTAAAACTGTCACCATTCCAACGTCATCTGGGGGTAGCTTCTTAACCCTGGAAGCAGACATGTCCAGTTTCGGTTCCATACTTCCTAGGGAGCGTACACTGGGACCATCGGCCGGTGAGGACGTTCTTTGGGAACCCAGACCCGAGTCCACATCTGTGCTAGTCGGGCTCAGTGCGTCCGGTAGAATATTTGAAACGCGACTAAACATTGCTGCGTGCTGCGTGCTACTGCTAGTTTGATTGATTAAACTGGATATGCAACAGAAGTCCCACTAGAACTGAAGTCAAAGGGTTAGATTGCCGATATTATTACTAGGCAACATTATTTAGTACGATCCAATAATACCGCATGCTGACGCGGTCTGTTTTTGACCTAAATGTTGCTGCAGCTTAACACTGTCTAAGTTGTAGCTGTATGTCCCACTACCGCACGAAAGTCGAATCAACACCTTAGACTTCCTCGTGAAATATATACTTCAAAAGAGTGTGTGCTGTAAGGAACAATGGGAAGCCTACCTCCTATCCGCCTGCCATTCACGTCCCTTTGTAGCTAAATCAATACCAGCCAGTACGCATTCGTCCCGCTGAATCTACATTGTGGAATCGCAATGTGCACCAGGTATTTCAATTACAATGAATGACGCGTGTATAGACTTAAAGGCTGCTGGTTGAGAGACCCTTTCGTTCAATGTGGATGGACTAAGTTTTCGTCCTACCAGCTAATACCGTGACGACAGCACTGCGACTACTTGGTTACAGGTATGACACTTGCATATCTGCACGACACGGTTGACCAAGATAATTGATGGAGATGGGCAAACGTTTCACCAATGAAACATTAACCGCGCGAACGACTGCGACTTCTTAGTATGTTTTGTCATCCTTTAATCATGGGGGACAGCGCTAAATGATGGCTATGCGGTCATACTTAAAAGTATGTCAAAATGACATCGGTCACGGTGTCTTGTCATGGTATTTGTGGAGGCAGAGTGCTTATGTTTTATCGCTCTGTTTTATCAGCTATTTATGTTCGCTCTCATGCTAATTATTTGAATGTATTTTGGTATTATGATTCTCTACAAAAAGTTGAGTTAGACCTGGCATATCCCCTAAAACAGGCAATTGCACGTTAGATAAAGACAACCAGATCAACGAACTCGAGTCCAACAGTATTAGTGCAATGAGAATTATACGTATCGATTTGTCACAATCCTTTGAGAGAAAACGTTTTGTTTTTGTATATGGGTTATAGAATATTAAAATCCTGTCAATATTTCATTCCTCAAGTCATACTTCATATTTCTAAAATTACCTTTGATTCATGTTGCGCTTGATAAGTAATAATAATAGTGGCGACTGGATTGCTTTTCCAAAGCGGGAAAGAAGACTTGAATAAGCTACATTTACTAATTTCTGTTTAAATGCAGTTCTTGCTAATGTATTTAGAAAGTATTCTTATGTCCTTTCCTGCATTCTTTTTTATACTTTTACACCAGACTTATATACCAGACCATAATAATAATAATAATAATAATAATAATAATAATAATAATAATAATGACTGACTATCAGTTACACAAGTCTACAAATTACCTAACTTTCTATGCATTGAAATATACCTTAACAGTGGAGCTGCTGGGGTGGACGATGCAACATTTTCTTTTTTTAAAAGAGTGGCCTATACTTTATGAAGTCAAAGCCATTTATCATTGTCTCATTTGAGTTGTTCATTATGGAATTGCATTTGTTGTTGCCAAAAACATACCTAACAGTAATTTAGACGTTTTTGACTAACCATGCGTGGCACCTTAACCGTATTAAACCGGTCATGAAACAGGCGCCACGACAAAGGCTTTTTAAAAAATTACAAAATTAGTTTAGATTCATCTGGACAAGTACTAGTCTAATGATGGCATTTATCCGCCACAAGCACCACTGCCAAGATTGGCAGATAAGTCCCATGAATAATGATGAATATTCTGTAGCACAGAAACTGGGTCACGGTGAAGGCAAAATTGACAAATTGGGCATCAATGTCTTAAGACAGTATATATGTATATATAGGTATACAAGCATCTCTCGACTCACTCCGGACATTACGACCCTGTGATACCTGGGTACCAGGTGCCTCTGAAATAGCATACGAAATTAAAGTATCAGAGATACAACAATTTTGATACAGACTGCTAGCACACCCCGTAGTCAGAGAGAAAGACATTCCCGCTCTGTTTAGACATGATTTCTGTATACGAGCTACTCGTGTTTGGTTCATTTTATCTGGTCCAAAATCGAACATTTGATCTTGAAAACGGCATTTTGAAGGTGTGATTCCTTTTTTTTTCTTACAGTGTCCTGAACAAGAAATAAAAACTGCTGTATTAAGAATTTGCCAAATGAGATGATTGAATGGAATTCCACTTTTGACAGTTTTTGCGATTATGTATTTACGCAGTTGTCTGAAGACGTCAATGCATGCAATGATGAATTATAGGACACTTAACACGTTAATCTTTTGAGTTTATGAAGTAGGCCTAGTGATTATATCCTTAAGGTTTCAAATCGCGAAATATCCCAATAGACCTGCGCCATAAAAGTAGTTCTCAGATACAATCAGGGTCAATATAGAATGTAGATAAATATCTATGAAATGCTATGAGGATGATTATTCTCATATCCAAGCTAAATTCCTGCCCCAAACATTTCAAACATTCAGACGCTTTTCATAAACGAGGACAATTAACTTGTCAATTTTAAACGGACAACAATTTACATGCACATTACACTGTCCTAGAAAATCATCTTAGGGTCATGTACAATTATAGTTGTGGTATCACCCGAGGCTCTCTTATCGTGAGAAACTGGAGTGATGGCCGTTTACTGCGGATGACAAGTACGAGAGTAGATTAAAAAGGACGTAGATTAAATCTCAACTATATCTTTTAATCATGTTTTTGAAATAAGGCGTTATAGTCTTTTCATTACTTAAAAAATTACTAATAGCTGCTCGGATGACAGAGAAAATTGAAAATAACCTTTCTTTCTTTTTTAAAAAAATTACAACGCTGGTATTGCGTCATTCGGGAGCTCGTGGAATAGAATATGACGGTTTAGAAAAGCAAAATCGCATAACGTAATTATATTTTATTTATCATTTGCACCTGGTAACAGTAGTTTTTGTGATCAAATGTCATTGTCTTTACTTGTCAAGGCTCTTAAGATGCAGGAAGATATATGTGCATACCATTTAACAAACTGAGCCTGGTCACCTGGCCCTGGTTTCACAAAAATATGGGAGACCGGGGCTAGTTGGGTAAGTAGGCCCCTCATCAAGTCTCTTTAATAAAGTTACTTTAAGATGCTAAATTATTTCATTTGGGCTCACTGCCGACGCTTTCTTAGCACTATTGGATACGGTCACTTTACAAAATTATGTGATCAATTCTTTTACCCCATAGTTACTTTGTCATAAATTGATGGGGTGGGGGGGGGGGGGGCTAACTTACCCCGGGGTCCAACCAGCCCCGGTCTCCCCTACTTAAGTCAGGTTCCCTTGCTAATAACTCAATTAATCTTTTCATGGTCACATGCTCATATCTTACCCTATCAGGAACAGTGTTACAACACTTTCATGGAAATCCTAGTCAACTAAGCCAGGAACTATGGCTAAAGTTTTTTTTTCTTTTTGAAGCTGCATGGGTCCTGGTCCCATTATACTGCTAATCTTAGCGTATATTCGAATTATTCAAAAAGCCATTATGTTTCGAAGGCTATCCCTTATTTATTTTCTTTACTTTGTGATTACAGATTCAGACATGGGGAAAACTTTGAAACTCTGAAGGTCCGGAGGACCTGCGCTGCAGGAAATCTGCAGTACCTCCCAAAATTTGGTGCTACCCCGAACTAAATATTAATTTATTTCCTTTAGTCTGTGTTTACAAGTAAGTTTTTATTATGCGTTGTGTTTTCACATAAACCTTGCCAGTCCAAAAGACCCGCGATATCAATAATCTTGCAGGTCCTCTGGCATTTCATGACCTGTCGGACCGTCAGGTTCCTAATGTCTGCAGATTACAGATGATTCAGTCTCACGTAGTACATTAGGTGCACAAAAATAAGTTAGATTGTTTCCAAAGATTTTGTGATTTTACAGAGAATACAGGGCTTGTCTATTACAGTCAAAGGGGGGGGGGGGGTACATGCATGTGCATAAATTATAAACCAGTGGACATCCTTCATAATCTAGCGAAGATTTGTGAAAAAAAAACGGCATAAAACTAACCAAATAAACATATATCTAGTACGAGAAGTCGTGCTGTAAGTTTTTTGGTCATATTACGGTGCTGATATGACACTGAATGAATTTATTCAACCAGGCAGATATCCCTTTACCTGTGCAGGTCGCCTGCACTTGTTCACAATAACTCATGCAAAGAGACGCCTTTGATGATCACAAGCCAGAAAAAAATAAACCCAGATGTATTATATTTCAAAAGACAATTCCTTCGATTTCCTTCTTTTAAATAGGTCGCTGTACACATCAGAGTTTTTTCTGTGACTTATTTTAAGTGTTTGTCGGATATTAGATCTAGTCTTCGTCAGTTATTATATGAACTCTTCAAAGCTGGTTTGAGCTTTAAAAAAACTCCATTAGTTATTTGATGCTGTAATAGAATATAATTGAACAGTCCCACTCGTGCGTTAATATAATGGACCAACAAACTTGTGATATAGATAGATTGAAAATATAATGTCTTACACAACAACCATAGGATCGTTGACATTTCACAAACTCTCCAATTAGTTTCCAGCACCATAAAAATGTGTCACACGAGAAATAAACGCTGACTATATTTTTGTAACGAGGATATATTTCATATGCTACTAATACCAATTTTATGTGCAACAAATAAAACAGATAACAGACTTGAGAAATGTCAACATTTGATGTATTAATAATGTTTGAAAACGGTGTAGTGATTCAAAATCTATTTACTGATTGCTCTCAAATGTTTAACGGAATAGACAGTGGACATAGGGATCGAAACTTTATTGAAATGTGTTAGATGTTACAAAAATTGAATAACAACCAACACAACAAAATACGTGATTTTCCCGTAACATGATGCCAGATCTTAGTGACCACAATAATACTGCTTCAGACCACAAAATATACTGATATTTATGTTTCCGTGCAGTGCGTACAAAAATAGTTTCCTTTTCTCTCCGTAAAATTTGATTTGAAGATTGACAGAAATCTGAATTTTGATACCGTAATCAGATAAGGCTTGATCCAGTCCCCGCTTGCACACGTGATTGAAGACACAAACAAAACCAGTTTCCATAACACGTTTGTCTGTGCTCTCAATCACGTCGGCAGTGGGCAACTTAGTAAGAGTTGCTGTCGGTTTCATCTTTCTTCCACCACCATGTCTCCGAGGCGTCGTCGTCACCGTCGTCGCCAAATAGATTGGACAAGAGGTCGTTAAGCAAGGACGACCTTGTGGTCGGCGCCTCCCATTCCCCCGTTACTTTGTTATTCTGCTTCACCTCGCTTGGAATGGGTGGTATAGGGGTTGTCTGAAATGAGAAGTGTAGGATTTTCTTTGCCTTTAGGTGATACGCCAAAAGACAAATGCGGACATTTTGTATGCTTCGAGATTTCAAATCAATTCTAAATAAAACGATATGAAAATATTTTCAAGTCTACACTGAAAGTGTAAGGTTTTTCTTTCACGTACCGGCTCGTCTTTGTTTTTTGGGTCTTGAGGTGCTTTCTTTCCACCAGCCTTTTGTATGTGGTCCGGTATTTCTTTGGTCCCGTGCAACAAAAGTTTCACGCTTTTCACTGAGCCGCGCTGGCCACCAGTAGTCTACACAAACACACAACGCAAACATTATAAATCGTCATGGTGTTTTTAAGGAAAAATGAGTACTTGTTGGAAGAACGGCTTGCTATCAAGGTCAGTTAATACACATGTAGAGGGATTAAAAACAAGACAAACAAGCAAGATAAAACAAATTATATGGCTTTTTCCTACTGACCTATACTTACTTATTATATAAGCGAACAAAAGATGGAAATGATTCCACCATATTCTTCCCCAAATATTCGTATGTAGGCATATAAGTATAATATTACTTTAAGTGTGGCACACAGATTGGCTACGACCTAGTGAGCCAAAGTTAGCACTGTGTCGTATAGCATATTGTGTATGGTATATCAGTGTGTTAGGTGAAACACAGATTGGTACGACATGGTGTGACATTGACATTGAGATCGGTATAACATAGTGTGTTAGGTGTGATATTGAGATTGGTGTTACAGTGTGTCAGGCGTTACCCTAAGATTACTTTGACACAATATTGTTAGATGGGATACAAAAGTCTAAGAGATACACACCTGGTCAGCAATGGTCACTTCCCAAGTTCCTTTTGGGTTTTCTCCCCAGTTGTGCACAGACAAGAAGCTCCAGTTTTTCAAACCATCCCTGGATGTGTCGTATTTGCGCGTGCTGAGCAATTTCGTCGTCATTCCTACAAAAACAAATTTGCTATGTTGATAGACCATTATATGCCAAATATGCTACACGTGCAACGCAAATGCATAGTCGACTTTGTTTCTTTTAATCGAAGTTTTATGGCTAGCCCGCTTCAAAATCAACAATTGTTAAGCTGTATCAATTTATGTGACTTGGCAAAATGTTTGAACAAAGGCTTCTTTTCTATGACTGCTCACATATCTCTTTAAAATGATGTGTATATATATATATATACCAAACAAAAGGAGAACTGAGCCGCACCATTTTCCTTACATGTTCACGCGATCGTATCAGCTGAAAAAAATTACCTGACTTGTGACACGTGTGTCCGAGGACGCCTTTAAACAGACTAACTTACCACTGGGAGCTTTGAGCCAGATTTCCAGCGATCCTCTTCTACTGTAAGTCACGTCCACGACCAACTGGACGTGTTCCAGAGACCGGATTTCATTATCTTGACCCTCACATCCTGTTGTCTTTATCTTGATCACGACTTGGTTACCAGAGGACAGTGCCCTAAAAGTACAATGATTGCTGAAGCAGAAGAACTAGTGGTGGTAAAGACTGGCAGAGGGAACAGTGTAGGCATTACAAAAAGGACGCTTAGTTTAATATCCACTGTATACAAGTTTGGTATGTTACAACACACTTAAGCAGCAGTAGTTGAACAGATCTCTTATAAACGTTTGTATCATTTATTGATGTCTTTTTAAATGTAAACCATTTGGCATGTTGGCTGTGGCATACATGTACATCCTCAATGCAATTACAATTATACTTATGACAGGTGTAAGTGGGTTTTAGTAATTATTTTTAATTGTAAATCTAATTATGGTTTCCAAACGAAAGCAAAGGACACTAAGTTCACACATATTTGGACAAAATGGTTTACAGACGATTTGCAAATATGAAACCGGACGATTATCCTTCTATTCTAGCACATACTTTGGCAAGCCATCTGTTACATCGACTTCACATATAGATTTCTCTGGCACCGTCTTCCAGGTGGCAGGGTCTGCCGTCTCCACCAGGGCCAGGGCGTCTAGAATGCCGAACCCGAAGCTGCTGCTAACTTCGAAGCCTGCGCCATTGGTTTTCCAGCCAGGGTTTTCTCCTAACGGCGATTTCTGAGAGGTCCACGCGACCAGATGCTGAACGTCACGCCAAGTCAGGTTGGGGCTGGGGAGCGAAGAATTATGAAAAAATATATACATATACATATATATATACATCATATATACTAATTAGGATATTACACACATGTAGAGGAAAAGCTGGTAGGACGTGAGTGATTGCAATCAGATCAAAGTACTCATGATCTCACAGTGGTCATGTTCATTATAACGGGAAAAAGACTGAGACAGTATGCACAAATAGTGGCCTACACATTTATGTGCAGGGTCGACTAGTCAACTTTTTTGAGAGGTAACAGGTGAATCTCTGAAAGTTTTAATTCCAGTTCTACATGTACGAATAATAATGCGTTTTCTCCCTTTCTTTCGTACAGCGACACAAGACTTAAGAACTCTCGAAATACAATAAATACAATTGAAATACAATAAGTTTATCTGCTTAAATCAGACTTTGAAGATGGATGCATTTTTGTTTATCTGTTTATTTGTTTATTTATAGATGTGAATGTCTTTTGAAATAAGGACTCACTTGCGTTCCAAGACAAGTGCCATGACGCCGGCGGCCAAGGGGGCTGAAGCCGAAGTTCCCGTATGAGCTTCTGTGCATTTATTATGGAGGTCGGTACTCACCTATGTTATAAAAAGACAGTTGTAACTTATATAAGTGTTTTGATTGAAAACACGATCTAAACACTATCTTAGTTACTTACGAGTCACATGCAAGTTCTTTTGAAATTAAACTTGTCAAAGGTAAAGTAGGCGAAACACATAGCGAGTTTTGACATTGGTCAACTCTATCTGATTTCCAAAGGCCAGGTGTAATATTTGTAAATCAGATCAGCAATACATGTTTACTGGCTACGAGGCCCATTGACAGCATAATGATACTTTTAAGTATAAGTATTGTGGGTGAGATGACCAAAATCAAATAGTGCCTTTTTATTTCTCGAAAGAACTCGTTAAAACTGTTAAAAAAAAAAGAAAAGAAAAAATGTAGATATAAACATAAAGGAGTAACATTTTAGGGTATATTGGACTACTTACAATTTTTTTCTCTCCAAAGTTCCCACTAGAGTACGCAGTTGCCATGGTAGAAGCGCACCTCTCGGCATACCAAGGTTCTTTATTGTGTTCTGTAGCACTACTGATGGACAAAGTATAGATGGAGCCGGTGTAGCCGTCACAGTTGCAGTTGTCTTGACTTCTGCCACCGTTCCCAGACGCCCACATGTATATAATGCCCTTACCACCTCTGCCCTGTACAATATCAGGAACATATGTAATAGATACACCACGAGTCAGTGGGGAATATGCAAAAAATTTTAATCTCGTCATTCACGGTGGTTTCCTGTTTTGTACTAAAATATGTCACATACACCTCGCTGACTCGCACAGGTTATATCCATTCTATAAAACGTTCTAGGAAACCGTTTTTTCTATTTTCTTATATTGCTGGGTAAAAGTCAGTCATATATATATCTCATGTACTAATTATCTTTGCACCGGAAAAACGACGAAAACAATACGTCTCGTACGAAACGTTAACTCCGCGATATCCCCTGCTTACCTCAGTTATTCCCTTTATGAAAGCCTCCTTGCATAGCCTGCCCGGTCCTTCCAACGTCTTGCCGTCGTCATTTGGTCCCCAGCTGGCACTAACGATGTCGACATAAGTGTGGTTAAAACTGAGAGCTTTGGCCTCTACCGAGTCTGTAACACGTCCATCTAACATACGAATGCCTGAAAAAGATTTCGAATTAGTGAGCAAGCAGAATGCTTAGACTCCGTTCACATGAAAAATCTATTTTCTAAAAATCTATTTTCTATTCACGGTATCATGTGATCACTCCGAGCGCAGCCAAGAATTAATTACAGCTTTGGAAGTAACTGGCTCCCGCTGCCAGTAATTACGCCGTGGGATATTCAGGGCACAGACCGTGATCACAAGATACCGCAAATAGAAAATAGATTTTAAGAAAATAGATTTTGCATGTGAACGGTCCCTTAATCTAGAAGTCGAGGATCATGAATGTCTATTCGTCCGTGCGAGTGCGTCTGAATGTTAATTGCTTGCAAGGAAGAGCTGTTCTTGTCAACCTAGCCTATTTAGCACGTTCTCCTGCACTGCATATAGGCTAATACATGTACATGTAGACTAATTATAATTCTATTCTTTGGAATAACAGGCTGAATTTTCCACAAACTCTGTGATAAATCTTTTAATGCTTTTTTATCAAAAATCTGTTATCAGATGGTTGGAAACGGAATTTTTTATAATTACCAAAAAATCCTTGATTTTATCTTAAACCCAAAGTGTGTTGTGTGAGAAAATGACGGCCATCTCTTTTAATTTCAGAGATGGATTGGATAGCCCAAAAACGCAAAGTTGCGTGACTTTAGGGACCCATTTCACAAAAGCACTTTAGCCCAAACATTAGTCTTAACTTTAAGACCAAAATTGTTTTCTAATTTGTTCCAAGATAAATCAATAGTAACTGAAGTAAATGCAATATTGTGCCTGTTTCATAACTAATGTTTTATTTAAGTCTACCACTATGGATTTATCTTGAATCTTGAAATAGACCAAATTTGTTGTCTTAGAGTTAAAGTAATTAAACTCGCTTACAGCGTACCAGAAAAAGATATCAGAATGCTCTACTTATATTTGACAGGTTAGGACGAGCTTACTGCCTGTCACTGGTAGTGAGGAATAAATGTTTTTCTTTCATGTAGATTGGTTACTTTTACGACGTGCGTGTACATAAACTTAACTGCAAATCGATGGCTGACTAACCCATTGTTCAACATGAAAGTCTACAATGTTTTCAATGTTTGGTGACAAATTGAACACGGAGGACAGAAAACCCAAATCCATCATAATTAATAACAAGGAAGAATAGATGCTCGTGCTGTTTCCTTAGTTTAGTGCGTAGTCTAGTCTGCAAATCCATTCCTTAATTGATCAATTAAACTCGATATTTTTTGCAAAGGCATCATAAACTAAAATAACTGACAATAGTCTGCAATTTTTTCCAAAGCCTGCCTTTAAAATCGATTATACAGTTCAGAGTTGGTCGTGTGGCTAATTAATCGCCTGTTGTGGACCCAACCGGTTAATTTAGATAGATGCTCAATGAAACAGAAGGTTAACATTAGTTAGCAGATGATGAATTGGGGCGTGTTGCAGTCACTGGAACAAAAGTCACGCTACAAATGTGCTTTGTGAATGAGCTTTACATGGAGGATGTATTAGCCTCGTGTTAAGTCTACCTTGTGAGTTAAGCAGTTGCGATTTACTTTTTTTTCACAGAAAAATATTACGTTTCCGATTGTAGAAAGTTATAGACAGATATGTAATTGAATGATTATTTTCTTTCTTTATCTTATTTCCCTAGCCAAAAATATAATGATTCTCCGAGTACTTGTCTTCACAATTCACACATGGTTAGTTGTTTTAATAATGAATGTCGATTATTTACAATGTTGCATAATTCACGGTATCCACTTGGTTTGTCCGAAAAAAAATTACATTTTGAATGTTAAGTGAAAGTGTATAAGCAGCGATTATCAATTGCAAATTTAATTTATTTGACGTTTTTTTAAAAAACGTGTTATGAAAGATGTGGTAATGAATACCTTGGCGTCGCCAGACGCAGTCAGAAACAGCCTGCTGCCAGATATCATACAGACGGCTGTACAGACTGCACCGTAGTTATTAATTTGTATATAATTAATTCACGTCTTTGGTTATATCTAGTCTCTAAGGTGTCCTTCGATATTGTTTCGAACAATTTCCATAATCGCAAGTCTAATTGCTGTTTATAGATTTTGTTAACAACATTCTAAAATAATAATTATTGAAGGTCACTAAATGTGCCAATTCTTTCGTAAGTCTGCACAAAGCATAACCCTTCGTCCAATTTATACCTTCTAACCAATAGGAAGGTCTTTATTGCCGGTGATAAGGCTAATTTGACCTTAGAATTAGAATTAGAATTATTGGCTAATTGAGCAAGGAGTGCCATTGTGCTAGATGTCATATCCAGTGAGCCAAGTGTGTACTTACCCCCAACTTTAGCGCCGTATGCCACGCCTACTCCACACAGGTTGTCATTTGGTTGCATGGCAATCTCTCCTGCACAGCGAGTCCCGTGTCTGAAAGTACATTAGTGCTTTTTATGTTTTCATGCTTTTTATGTTTTAAACTTGTTCTAGTTTTTCTAATTTTTTCAAACTGTTAATCTTGTTATAGATAGATAAACATTGACCAAGTCTAATTATTATTTTTACATTTCAAGTATAGATGGAACTCATTTAACCATTTTCGTTTCGTCATGTAGAGAGGCACAACGACAACGTGTCACTTTTTTTCACGTAGACGTACAAATTTGGAATTGAAAAATCAACAAGTGGACGCGTGAACGTGTGTCTACACCGTATTGTAGTACAGCCGTTCGCCCCCTATTACATGTATATAGGTTAAGAATATTTATACCATGGGCATTTTTCTATTCACATTTATTGCTTTAATAGGGAAGTCTCGTTTCTACAAAAATGCCTAATGCAACTTGAATATTTGAGAATATTACGGCAAACAAATGGCATCAAATAGGAAAGAAGAAGAAAAATAATATATACCTGTTCTGATCCAAAGCATCATATCTAGGGGAAGGGTCGCTGTCACCTCCGTTTAAATCAGTACTTGCATATGGATCCTACAAAAGACAGAAAACTCCAGGTGAGACTGCTATAAGAAAAGGAAAAACATGACTTCCGGTTTCCATGGACAGCGATGCTTGTGTGACAAGTGCAGTTCTCTGCTTTGCACTCGTCTTTTTTCATGCAAAGTAGCATGTAGCATGTAGTATTCGAGCCTAATTTTAAACGACTTGTATATACTAAATGGCTATAGGTGCATGGCCAGAAATAATTTTGTTTGAAGTAGACCGTACATAAGTGATTGATTTAAACCAAACTTACATAGCTGGCTCTGAGATCAGGATGTGTCCATTCAAGCCCTGGAAAGAGAGAAGTGACATGGGCATCAACGGTTTCGAAGACTTTTTCTCCGTCATCAAAATTTACAAACAAAAATGAGATAAACACTTAATATTTCACGATAAAAGAGTCGAAACTGACAAAACAAACCTACACGCAAAAACTCATCTTTAATCCACAGCGATGAATTTGACGCAACGTGGAATGTCTTAAAGGAGACAACCCCTTCCAGTCAATTGTATTTCCGTGCCGTTAGAGTTATCATAAATCATTTAGTATCAGTGATTAGCGATAGTTTACGATTGTCTCAATGACGCGCGACAAGCTTTCTCCATTAGGCTCATATGATCATTTTTCGTAAAGGTTATCTTAAATAAATCGGTGGGCGCCACAAAATTCTCCCATGTAAAACATTAAAAAATCACTGTTGAAAAGCATTGCTGAATATCAATCTAAATGCAGTATTAGTATAACAACCTCTCTTTCCGATCGTCAGTAGCTGAACCTAGAGTAGGAGAGAATTTAGAATTTAGATCTATCATATCGCACGTATTAAGTACCTAAATTATTTTGAAATCCATGTAGAATAGAGACTGCATGTGTTAGTGAACGAGCATTAAGTACTGGAAAATTATTATTATTATTATTGTTGTTGTTGTTGATGTTGTCGTCGTCGTTGTCGTTGTTGCTGCTGCTGTTGTTGTTGTGATATTCATTCCGAATGCCCACTATTTACCCAAGGAACCTCACGAAACCAATCCCCACCCCTATCCGCAACCCCTTACCATCATCAGGAATGGATATGACTACGCCTTTCCCAGTCACTTTGTACTTATCCCAGGCCTCCACCACTCTGAGGTCGGCGTGTGAAGTGGGGTTTCTCCTCTTGTCTGAGTCCTGATGTGTCTGGAACAGACAGAGGTAAAAAATTACTGCAGTGAAAGTTACATTCTAGAGTAAAAACGTAAAACAAAATAAAGTGCTCGTCAGCTTCATGTTGTTGTCGTTGTCTTTTTCTGTCTTAAGAGAGGCTTTTAAAACGAGGCAACATTTCTGTTTTTAAAAAAATCGTGGAACATGAAGCGGTACTTTACAGCTGATGATGATGGGAAAGGTATCTTGTTTAAAGACTTGAAAAAATGTTATGTTATGTCATGTTATAAATAACTCTTATAAGTTTAGCTGTCGTGTGAAAAACAATTTATTGTAACTTTGGGTATAAACGCCTGTATCTATATATAGCTTAAACAGGGTAATATAAAAAAAGATGTAGAAATCACTTCATAATGGCCTTTTAGGTAAAACGAACCAATAAAATAAAATTAAATTAAATAAATCAGTTAAATTTCAATTTAGAATTTAAAAATCAGGTATCTTTTGAACACATGTTAATTACCCAGTATCAACAGACGAATGATTATATGTGTAAAAAGTTACATACCAAATACCATTCATGTGACCAGTTTGGGTCATGAAATGGCTCAATGTGAGGTGGATCGTCTTCTTTTATATTGCGTGGAATGTAGCCTCTCTTAACCCTGCTCTTGCTCTGCTGTTGCTCTGCCCAGTGAACCTAAAACGAAAATGAAAAAAAAATTAAAATGTCGTGTGTCTGAAGAGGACGTTGACTTTAATTCATTATTGCGTGTCTTGATGCAAAATAAAACTTCAAACGTTTTACTGGAGATAACTCATAAGTAAAGTTTACGTGCTTTACTGAAACCAATTTAATTGCCACTCTGTGAAATATCAAGAGGGGTGAACGACCTGGAGATTGCACGTTATACACGTACTTGTGGATGATCAACCAGTCTCTTTACGTGAGTGTGGGCACTTCGCCGAGAGCGCGCAGGGACATCTTTGTGGGCAAGGAGATAATAGTCATCGAGTGCTCCAATCTGAAAGAAAAGATTTCAGAGGGCAAGTCAGTCTGAAGATACCGGAGAAGATCTTGAAGCAGGAAATTCAAAAGTCATTTAGACCTCATGTTATTGGCCGTTATAAAGATGATGAACTTCGAGACGGGGGGCAAGAAAGTTCCCCATTACTACACTCACGTACACAAGCGCGTGTTCATACACACACAAATAACTTCATACGAGATGATCATTTCTAATTTCTGTGTATTAGCTTAGTGTATTGTGTATCGCTGAGAAAGAGAGAGAGAATGAAACCACATTAACAGATTCCACCTTTTTTAAATTTCGTTACAGGAATGATTTAAATTGTTTCTGAATACGTATATACAAGAGCCTCTGTCGATATACACATTTTATATAAAATTACCATTTAACGTCATCCTGCATAGGGCAGAATATACATGTAGGCAGCAGTGTCAATTAAGATGCCTCTGAAAACTGTCTTTCTCTGTCTGCCTCTGAAAGCTGTCAACGGCAGCAATCTGACTATAACAGCAGTTTTATAAACCTGTCTGTTAAGGAACACTATATTTAGCAGATATTAGGAGGCATTTCCACTTTTCTTGGTCGCTAATTGCGTATCATTGCTTGTAGCTCATACATATAACGTCCCTTTTATCTCACGGCGAAACGCTATAAAGGTAAATTGTGGCTATATAATGGACTATTTGCCTTTAATGATGTGTAGATGGTCTACCTTTAACAATTGCAGACTTTCATGCTAACTCGTGCAGCCTGGTGGTTTGTTGTAATACAACGAATCTTTTAGAAGCGCGCGCACGTTTTTTTTTAATCAACGAAGACAACAAACGTGTAAATGACGCGGGAAGAATTCCGTCATCACCTATCTTAAAGAACTGCATACATGTGACAGGCGTTAAGGATGGATTACATTTAAGTCAATCTAAATGCCATTCTTTGATAAAAACCAAGCTGCGCTTGTTGACTTCCACAGTCTTGGGCCTTTCTGCACCATCAAAGTGTTTAAAATCACAATTTTAAGTCTCTCCTTCCTGTGTCACGAAGTCACAAAATATGCCTAAGGACAAGTTTTCACCACCCGTTAATTCGGGCAGTCGGCCGTCTTGATGTATAATCCTCGAAGATGAAACTTCACTCCTGTTTTTTTAATCATTTTGCTGCATTAATTGCAAACCCAAGGGGTAGTCTGTCATAATGATAATGAAAGAAGTACATACTTACGAAAGAACTGATCCAAGGAAATTGCTTACTAAAAATGGGACCAAACAAAAAGATGTATCAAAATCGAAATAGCTTTTCAAATATCAGAATGGTCATTTTAATGAAATCTGAGAATTATGAAATTGACTTATCCTTTAAAATGAAGAGCATCATGCATTTCCCCATTACACCGATTTTTCAATCACGAACAAAAAAAAACTAAATTGAAGAGTCAAATTTCCGTTATGAAATAAATGTACCTAACATTTATATGTAGGCAGTTTCTCGTTTGTTTCAATAATGCATCATAGAAGAATGATTTTAGAAAATGCGCTTCCGATGTTTGAAATAAACCGTTATTTCTAGGTTCATTTTGTTCTCTCGTATGCTGTAGAAAAGCGGATATTCAGAGGAACCCAGCCTTCCATCCTCGGTTTATTATGTTTTCTCAGCTCACGCTGGTTCTCCTCGTGACCAAATCACCGAGTAATAACTATTCTTGGAAACTAAAAGGGGTCTTGGATTACTCCTAAAGACTGTATTAAGCCAGCTATGTAATTATTAAATTGTGATGTATAGAGGTTTTGTATGACGACCTTATCCCGGTGTCGCTTCTCTGCGTCAGTCGTTCTGCCTTTACCTAGAGTTACCATTTGCAGTAAGAATCATTAAAAAGGGTATATTTCATTTAGATTTTACGTAACCATAATCATTAAATAGAACTGTATTTCCATTTCTTTCATGTGAGTGTTATATTAAAATCATATTCTGGTAGACGAGTTTTACTCTGACAGTTGTTCATGTTAGACACTTGTCCGAATCAACAGCCAACAACAGTTTGTCGGTGCACAAGCGTTGCTCCGATCAGGATGCCTTGCTGCACGCGGAAGATGAATTTATGAAGTACCTTGGCCCTAAGCGTCTGTCAAACCCGGGCTAATTCTCTAGCTGACACCAACCCAATGTCTTCATACAAATTATTAAAACACGCATCAATTATGTCCTCTCAACACGTTTTACAGGGATTCCAATCAATTTCTTGTTATCTCATGTCGAACCTGAGTTCTAGAGGTCGCAATTTCCTTCTTAGTCTTATCAATCTTGGTTCCATGTGTCAACTCTTGCTGCGTTGAAGGTTTATTCAGCCTACCTTGAAAGGAGGTGCCTTCACATTTAATATGAACAAATGTCAAAATTTCCCAAACAAATGATTAATCTCGGACAAGTAGTTCAGACGATGACAATTACACCAAAAGACGTCAATAGTTTTAAGAATAGCGATAATTCTCAATCTGAAAATGATATTGATACCATGTGAGGAGTTGCGAATGTTTCGAGTTTGTTGCGTGGGAGTGCGAGTGTTTCGGTGTGCGTGTTTGTGTGAAAGACATTGAAGTAATGAGAAAGTGAGACCTGATTTATGAAAGTTTTTCCCAAAAGTTTGACACCAATACCCAACGATCAATTGTCTACTAAATTCACGCACTGCTTCCTAATGCGACACACTGTACTTTTGTTTGATGTGTGATCAAACGCAGTTTCATTTAGCAACTCAACAAATATGCTATATAAACTGACAACCAGCAACTGTTTTTGTTTCATAATAAAAAAAAGCCCACTGTCACAAAAAAGTCCATAAAATGAATATATGTTTTTATTTCCTCGACCATTTACAGAGTTCACGTTCCTCATTAATTAAAACATTCAATTGTACGTCGACTGCTGCACGCGGTAGCACGTGCTGATACTACTAGTACCAATCTACCTACTCGTATTCAAGCACGTTGTGTGTACTCTAATAATAAAGGCTTTCTGCCCCTGATAAAGCGTATCTCATTAGTGCTGACTTTGAAGATTATTCTATCGATTAAAACGTAGTGCAGTTTATCTAAAATATTAGTAGTCCTAATTAAAAGGTATTATTATATTCCGGCAACGTTGCTTCCTTTCTCCGGTGTGCTGTGCTGTACCACGCAACATTGCTTCTTTTTGTACTGCAAACCAACAAGCATATTTCAGATTTAGACCATATAAAAGAATATGGCAATTCTAAAAAAGAGCAATACCAGGACCAAATTATACCGACTTAAACTCTATCACTCAACAACAGTCTCTTTTTTTCTTCTTCAAAAAGAAAATTTAGCACATCCAAGAGGGAATCGGGTATCTCTTTATGATAGCTGGTTGCAATACATACGGCAATTTAACAATGTAAAGGAGACAAGCATTCGACTGCAAGGAGTGTTGGTGCACTTTCATTAATTCGCAAAGCTCTAGCGATATAATCTTAATCAGAACTATTCACAATAGGGGCTAGTACGTTGTCATAGGAACATGTAATCGCTACTCTTTTATTATGCAATACATCCTGTGTCCATCTTTCCTTAGTTGTTCAACAGATTCTTGAAAGGAAATCAAGTAAAGTAATGCATGTCCGCCAGAGCTTTTGGTTATAACTTTTCAGTTAAAACTTCGTCATTTTTAAAATCGTTCTGTCATTGGTGGTGGTTCACAGTACAGATTTACTTATAACACATAGACTTTCGACCTCGAGTTGCACTATACAATTACATTAACTTAACACATTCATTCTGGCCATCAAGTAATTCCCTCCATCAGAGACATGTTGCTTATTCCATTCATAGTTCGTCAACGATCAACTTGTTCTTGGGGGCACGCTGTTTCTTTCTGCCAAATTAAAATATGTTGTTTATACAGAATCAGCTTTCTTATGTTATAGAAGAGATCCCACCTTCTTCAAGACTAGGACACGTAGCCTACAGCTTTGTATCAAGTAACTAGGTATTACTCATTATTAGCTTAGGCTTGCCATCAAAACATATTGAAGCCCGTATTCCTTAGGTTTGATTAGATGATTATTTAATATCGCTAAGGTTGGTTTGTTAAATATGAATGTTTACCACACTGGCCGTTTTTCCGTATATTTCTAACTTCTAAATAGAATAAACGGTGTCAGCCAGAAGTGGAGAGGTTGGCTTTGTAAAAGTATGGGATTGGTACCATTTGCCTTATTCACACACTGATAAAAGCTCGTTTCGTTTTTAACCCTTATAATTTAAGTGACATCTATAAGAATGAATAAATAATTAGATTCTTTCATATTAGTTAGGTCAACACAGGTAGGCCTACTGTAGGCCAAGATAGGCCTAAGTCAAAACTATCGCATGCCATTTCTTACAAAACATTTAGAAAAAGCCATGTTAAGTTTGAGAGCAGCACTTAAAATTGTTGGTTCTATGTGACGTTGACATGTGACGTTGCCATGCAATGATACGTTCGGGCTCAAATTGTGAAAAAGAGAGAAAGGAATGTTTTTTAGTACAAGTGTAAGACTTCGTGACCAAAAAGCGCCGTTGGGGAGGGTCTCCAACACTGTAGGTCCAACCGCAATGTGCAACTGTTGGTGCTTTTTCATATTTTCTTGGCCATTACGGCTTTCCTATGGTGACCCATAGGTAGAACTACACTTTTACGTCAGCAATCATGACAGTATTCAAATCTTACAGTACGTGTGTATGTATGTTCAGGATAACCAAAGGATAGTCGCCATCAACGACTCCAGAACAAATCCACCAATCAATACAGAGAAATGACACGCCTTGATTCGTCAGTCCGCAAGCTGTATTAACTGAATCTACCTGACAACAGGCACCCCTACCCCGACATCACCAGCATTCAAAAAATTTGTTGCCACGTTAAATATTATGACGTGGGTTGTGAATTATTTACAATTTTGCGGCTGAACTACCAACAATTGTCTCTATAAGCCTGCAGCACAGACAACTTACCAATACATTATAGATTTGAGTTTTGTAAAAATTTGGCACAAAACCCGTGTCGATGTGAACATGAGATGGAAATTTACCTTAATACTTGTCAGGGTTCATGATAACAAACTTTTCTGTTTGATGTATTTTCAGCTTGATTTATATATTCATTTATTTATTTTTCATCTTATCAACGGGTGAGACACATGCTCATAATGTTGTCGAGAGGTTTGAACAAACACGCAAATGCAACCAGTATTCCATCATCATATTCACTAATGCAGTTATAATATATGTAGACTAACATAACTAAGGATAAACAGTTGACCAGCAACATACATGTAACAACAACATTTAAATATCTTGTTATATGCTTCGTGCTGTGTACATGTTGTCCATCCAGGTATCAATATTTATCCGTAAATCAATATAAGCTCTTGGTACGTGAAATCCGGCGTTAAGCAAGAAAAAGAGCTCTTGAGAATACTGTTAAAACCCGCTGTACATGTCTGAAAAGACTCTTGATGATGAAGCGATGAAGTCATATAAATTGAGTATTAATACATACCTTCAAATGTAATTCAGGTGATGTAAATTGGTTCATTGTACAGAGAGTTAAAGCAAAGGGGCTTAAAGTTAAACAGAAAAACAGTAAATTTGGTGAAGTCTAAATATATCTTTTGAAAGGAATTTAGTACATCATGGGTAAAAAACAAAAGTCTCAGAAAGGCAAAGACAGTGAATGTTATAATTAGAGCTTTAATAGAGTATTAAATAATATATTAGATATGCCGGTATATTGAAAACAAAGTATATAAAAATAAAATTTGCGTGGTAACTTTAATAGCGCTTATAAAATATGACGTAGAACTTGGATGAATAAGGTTGCATTTTGGTCCATTATTTTATATGTGTAATTTACGACGCAGATAAATGTCTTTGCCTTAAGATATTTATAACGCTGTTGATTTTCAAAGGAACATGAAAATTAACTTGTTGCCGTGCGTTGCTTTAAAACTCAATTCAAGTAATGTTGGTAGTGATTGCTTAAATTGCAAAAATGGAAGTCACCCTTAAACAATAGTCCAAATTAGGATAAAAATGTTTTTCTACAACATGGTTTTGCAGCCTGTCTTTTTTTTTTTCTTTTTTTTTTGTCTTAGATAATGCTCTATACATGTATGTGGTAAAAAAAACCCGATCATTTTGTGATCATAGCCCTTGTATCCAATCCATCAAGACTAGACTATTATTCTAAACGCCAAGTACTAGTTTTAACGTCAAAATAAAATAGGCAGTCAAGACACGAAAACGCTCTTCGTGCGAATATTCCTCGATGTTGTTATCAGTCGCTGAGTCAAGAGGTGTCATATCATTAAGCTTATATTCTCTCATTTTCTGTGCAGAAAGCAATCTCCACATTATTTACAAACGACGGTTTCATTGTCTGATAATAGAAGTAATATGTAACCAGCGAGATAATATTCTTCAGCAAGAAGGAAAAGCAGACAATAAAACATCATATAATTCTTATGACAAAGTAACAGAAAAGGGATAGTGGTCAATATTCCTTAGAATACAACCATTATGTAACCGGAATAAGTCCACTGTCTCTAGCTTCATATACATATAGACTTTTCCTGTTTAGTCTGTTCGTGCGCATAGCAAGTGCATGTTTCGAATCCCAATCATCAATCACATGAAAACCGCGAGAAGAAAAAATTAATTCTTTTTTTAAAGCTGATGTAGTGCCATAGGGAGGAAAGACAGTATTATAACAAGTGTCACATTCGCCAGCTAAGCTTTACGACGTCGTGTACTAGTAAGCTGTTCAAATGAGGTTCAAATAAGAAACGAAATCACTTTCTGACCGTAGTGCATTCTCCTTTCATCAGATTTACAAAAAATGACTTAGTGAAAATAGATTTTAAAAATACTAATCATATCAAAGCACAGAAGTATTTAATAGGCCATATAACTTATCCCAATGTCTGATCAGAATTAAGTATCAAACTTTAAAAAAGGGACGCAGCAATCAAATTATCTGCGATGATGACACATGACTTTTTTCTATTAAGAAGCGTTCTTTCATCGGATTGACATTAATTATCGCACAATAAAGATTTCGCTTTTATCCGCCGTAGACAAAATTGCTCAATCACATTGTGTGGTTGTAAAGGCATATTTATTGCTATATTTGTATGTATTTACTTTGTGTTTACCAAACATAAACTCTATGTGCAGTGAAAACGGCTAATCATTTACTTGATGAGTGTCGCTCGAAACGCGTGGAGATGTATACCAGATAATGACTTGTCAGCAGTATAATTTTCGTATAGCTTTTGACTCATTACTAACCCTTCCTATGCCTGAGCATATATTTTTATGAGGGATAGGAAATGAGCAAAAATAAAAGAATTTTCAAGAGATAAAAATTAAGATTGCTGATAAGTAAATATAGGATGAGACGTGGGACCTCACTCCTACTCCACCGAAGCTGGACAAATTCTGACGACTACGTAATAGGCCTACTTACGTAGATTATAATTTGCGTTCTTTTTGTTTCGTTTAATCGTTTAGATATTTTTTAACTACCCCTACAATAATAAAATGATACTTTCATGTTTCGTTGCATTTGTTTGATTCAGCCTGTTGATGATGATGGTGGTGGCGTTTTTCTTCGGAATGTACATGTAAAAAGTGATTAAACAGAATCCGTAAAATGACGTTGAATATTTCATCAAGCTACGAACAAAATCACATGTACAACTAAATGCAGTCGCATCACCTCTTCCTTACTACGATGGGTTTTTACACACAGCCACTGCATACACATGTACGTACAAACCCACAAACACGCACAGATTACATATTGATGATGCGTATTGGTAACAACGATTCCTTACCTGTCCCAAGTTCTCGTAGCCCAGATCCCTAGCCACCTTGTCGGCGTTCTCCGGTCCTCCTAGTACTTTCACTGCAAACTCATTGCTATACTGACCATCTCCAGACGCTTGGAAAACACAAAGAGCGGAGAGGAAAAGAAAACCAGAATAAAACATAATATTCTAATGGAAATAATAAACAGATAGGTTCCTGCGAATTAGTGAGGTCAAGACGGACTCTCCTTCCTTCCTTCAATCGCTGCCTTTGTTGTAGTTCTTTTTTTTTCAACCGTGATGATTTTCCGGTTTTTCCTGACAGCTCGTGTCTTCGTAGAGTTCTCCAACCCAAAGGGGTTTATCGTTCGAGTCGTGTTAAGTTAAATACATGATTATGCATTGAACGGCTTATCGCAATGAGAATCAAGAAACGTTAAACAGCTGTTCTTTAGCTCTATACCATCACAGACTTGTATATGAAGTATATACCAAATCGGATGCGGGTAGGTTACCCATCATTCAACTGAGCGTGTGCATGATGGTCTGCTACCACGCATTTCAGGACGTCATCACAACAATCACTCGCCGTTTATCACAGAAAGTTCGATCAAGCCAACTCTCGTTCAGTGGACAGAAGGCGCACGGTTTTCCAGTGCATGAGTTATGAAGCGGCAACCCGAAGACCAGAAACGATTTTGGTTGATTACGGAGACAATTACAGTAATATCCTTAAAATGTAAGGATCATGAAGGATTAATGAGACAAATTCTAGGTCATCGATGTATCGCAGTTACAACTGAGATAATAGGATCAGGTCAGCAACAAAATGAACAGAGATTCTTTCCTTTATTTTTATAAACAGTCCCGAGCTATTACTTTTCTCTCATTAAGATAATTGATAACGCAACTATGGAATATTCCACCAAGTTTCACTTACACTTCCTGGCCGATATTTTTTATGGTTATTTAATATGATATATTAAAGGTATGAACGCGGCGAATTAAGATTTGAACGAATAATTTGTTTAATTCGTCCAATTAAGAATGCATTTGAAAGCTTAACAGGTGTCCCACATTCTATATTTAAATAAACATTTTCAAACAGTCTTCAAAATTTGTCATCTACCCATCGCAAGTTAACTTCAATCAGACATACGCAGCATAATTGGAGGACGATTTTGACGTCAGGTCTTATAACATGATTAAATATCAAGCCGGAAGGAGCGTTTCTCCTACGTCTCCGATTGTTCTCATCCTAGTGGCGAGGCCGTCACACATTAACGGTAGCTTCATTATAACCCGACATAATCAAACCCGAAGTGAAGTCAGAGTAATGAAGAATCAGATTTCTTAATGGCACTGCAAACAATCGGCAGAGGATAATTGAGGCAGCTGTCGCGCGTAAATATTGAAGGAAAACTTTTATCGATTCACCTGTGGATTCACGTTAGTAAAAAATACGGGATTGGAAGGCATAACAGCGCGTTTTGGTTCGTCCCGAGTTCATCAAAATTCACGATCGAAACGTTTGATACGCATATTCCTGCCTGCACTACCCATAGCCCAGTCAAGACCATGCTCTTCATCTAGCAGTCACAAAGTGCACTTAAATGCGCACTCAGTTTGCTAGATTATCAATCTCAGTTAATCATCAGTTCAATTTCCCGGTTGCAAGCTGTATATACAAGCTTCTATTGAACACTTTAATAACTCTGCAAATACCTCCGATTTCATTTCAGAAATATCACAACAGATTACTTACGAGCGGGTTTTGAGGTGCACTCTTATTAGTTACAACTTCCACGGTTGTGGCAGGCTAATTTATGTTTTTTATTCGTTTTGAAAAATTGACAAAAATAAACCTACAATAGAACAGAAGAAATAATTCATAAATGCATCTGACGTACTGATAAAAAATTAGCTTTCTTTTCTCGAGAAACAAGAAAGTGAACATAATGGGTAAAATCGCACCGTGGCTTGATGGAGGGCCCTCTACGTCACGGAACGCTTGGCCCATCTCTTGCTCGACGGAAGACGACCACGCGAACCAGCTGCGCTTCTCTCACGGACACTTAACTGGGACACGATTTGAACGCTTACATTGATTTTTACTTCCCTATGATAACTGACTCCGTTTAATTCAATCATTTAACGATATCTTGACAGTTTATGAACAACACAAATGGAAAATAATGTCGCTGTTAAAACAACTCGGTAAAGCAGTTGAAAAATCTGTTCAGTACGTTTGAACAAATGTATAAAACTGTAGCTAGCGTGAGGCAGCCGATTCTGTATTTCTCTAAATCTTATTGACTGATGAACCCGGTGGGGGAGGTGTAAGTAATATTTAATGTCAAAGTATTAAAGACTTCATTTCCTGTGACCATTTTACGGAGTCTCTGCTTGGTTGTGGTTTTCTTTTCAATTCTTAATCATTAAAAACATCTAAAACATTAAACTCTTCATATGACATTCAAAATTCTACAATATATACATTGTAAACATCACACCGAAATATAATAAATTCCATTTCACCACCAAAACGGCAGTTGTCGCAATAAATCTGAAAGATAGCTACCCTCAGCAATAATCTTTTAATAGATTATTACAAAAACCACACTAAAAAATCGACTAACTTTGAATGTCGGTACCTTTGTTACGTATTGGAACATTACCGTTTATTAATCCGCTTTTCGGCACTTTTCCCACCAAAATGACTAGTTGTCAGCCTTTTTTTTCTGTGTATTATATGTGGTACATGTATCGCACGGTATTGCATGTGTACATTTTTTCGTTAATGTGGCAATGTGGCTTAAAAGAAAAGAGAATCACTAACGATATTTTTTTTCAATTACTGCAGGTTGCAAAACAGACAAAATGGTCAAGTACTGGGTACCAAAGTTAATAGGGATCATAATTCTCAAATCAAATATTTCATAGAATACTTCAGTCGCCTTATAAATGTACATCACATTGGATTCCTTGAGATGTTAACCCGACTATTAATACTGGTGATTGCTTCTATTTCCACACATCTAAACCTGTTTAATCAACACATACCCAACCGTCAAAGTTGTTTGCGTTGTCATTTGTTAGCATCAGACTCACCCTCAATAACAACAGAACAACAGAGAATTGCTGATAGTCATAAATAGAACAATGTTACAGAGGTCTTTATTCCTCCTTGGTGTAAATACAATCAATACCACGTAACTACATGTATTTATATAAGTATATGGTTGACCCCAAAGAAATCTTGAGGGAAAATTTTTTTCTGTGGTAATAGATGAAATTGTCTGCCTCGAATCTTTACACAACTGTATTTTCCAGTCCCTTCATATTGGAGTTATGCGAAACATATTGTATTTAAAAAATGCGGGGCAATAAAATGTTTAAAAGTATAGGGCTTTTAGATTTGCTTTTTTGTCTGTACGGTGACTTGGAAACAGATAAATTGTAAGTTTAAGTAAAGAGCAGAGCAGTTGGCATTCCAGTAAAATACTTGACAGTGTGTTAGAATTTACTTTATCGGAAGATCACATCCAATGGCACGGTTTTCTTTGGAAATTATCCATTTTGTTAGTTGCACTTTTACATGAAAAAAAAATTGACTGATGATGTCACAATGTCCTGCATTCATTAAATCAATCCTATTATGTACAATATTTACCAGCATACAGTACATCAACTACTAGAAACCTGCATTGCTATGGTAACCAAATTCATTACTTTTTTATCATCTGTTACTTTGTGACTGAATTCATCGGGTGATAAGCTTGCTCCCATAGCAACAGAAGAGTTTTTATACAACATGGCTGACTGACACAAGCTTCTGGCAGAAGCATGGAACTCTTTAGCACCACATCCGTCTAAAATCCTCTTCACGTTTCTCTCATTTATTCCACCAGCTGGCATGACTGTTATTCTACCTCTGCTCTTTAAAATTTGAAAAACAAAAAAATAAAAACCAACGACTTTCAAACAGACAAGACAATGTCCATTTATATTGGTCCTTCAGAGATAACACTACTGCAAGTTAATTTTGAATTAAAAACTTTTCATATCCAGATAGCAAATCATAAATAAATGCACATATAAAAATTAAAAAATGAAATTAAAAATCACTAAATTCAAACCATTTAGCACATTCTGAGAGCAAGCAAAAATTTGCTGAATCTGTTCAAATATACCACATGATTTTTTGTTTTATATCTTACAAGCAGATTCTCTAAGAAAAGGGTTTTTCTGTTAGAAGTAGAGAGCCCTACTGAGTTGACTGTAACTACTTTACTCAGTTCTCTCTCATTGAAAACGTGGAGTTACTAAGTCACTGTCAAAACTTTTGATAACGTCACAGGACAGAAATATTTTGACCTATATATTATATTACCTTTTTACAACAACTACTACAAATATCCAACAAATACCTGTTGAATCATCTCTTTGATAGTGGGCAGTCCTTCCAGTGCTGAGGAATCTTGACCACTGGTCAGTACCCTGTGACAGCCTAGACTGATGATGTCTTCCAGAGCCTGGCGCCAGTCACAACACATGTCAATGGCTGAAACAGAAATATTTGTACTATTATTACTGTTATAATACAGATTGCTTGTGTGAAGGCTAAATTCAGTTTCTTTTATAATTTTATAAATCATCCATAATTGAACTCTTAAATTTATTGTGTTAATCTTTTCCATTTTAACTAAAGTTTTTTTGTCTAAATCTTAATCCTTTAAAATCCAACAGATGTACTACTTACGATTTTCACATTATTTTAACATTCCACTGGCACACCTAACACATTTACAGTTTTTATACTTCTGTGTTACTAGTATGTCTGACTCATTTCACACCTACCTCTATGGAATGTTACTGGCAACTGACCAGCTAAATCTGAAATTTAAACAAAAATTATTATTAATATTTCAATTAGATGTACAATAACTTGTACATATATCTAATGATCTTGATGTATATCTCTATGTATCTATCAGACTAATGGTGCTGGTGTAGCTAATAATAGTAGTGTTTTCACATATAAAATTATTTGCAATATAAATTAGTCAACGCTTTTAATACTAGTATATGAGATTGCATCTCTAAACTAAAAGCCTACACACCGATATTTTAGATTTCACATTTAATTTTATAAAAAATAACCAGTCTGTTCCACATAACAGGTATCTTGAAATGGTTAACATTGTGTTGGCTAAGCAAGCTGATAGGGTTGGCAAAACTAGTAACTTGCATGACTAGAGGGCAAGGAGGCAATTTGTTTTATAGCTGTCCACCCAAAGCTTACCGATTAGTTTTTTACATGCTTCTTTGTCAACTGAACCATCACTGCAAGGAAACAAGACAGATTTACGTTTTACCACACCATACAGTCACATGAAAGAATACTGTACTTTTACTTTGGTATGTTTGGCCATTTTGTCTTTTTCTTAAAATTGTTGATATATACATTATCTGACACCATTATATACCAGTAAGCACTATTAAAATAAAATATACAAATTCATATACAAATTCATAAAAATTAAAAAACACTCAATCAACAGTCCTAATGCTATAAAAACTTATGATTATGTAGGTCAAACCAATACTTATAGAATACATCAAAATTTATCGATGAGTGAAGTAAATGTGAACTTGGTAGTAACAATCTTATTAATTCTGAATTAGAACATTTATGGCACTATATGCATTGAAAAATTAAATAAAATGTTACATTATATAAGATTCTAAGAACTTGGTATGTTTCTAGGGTCTGCTGGGTTGGTACATGGTGAAGAGTGGACTGAAGGAAAAGAAAGATCCAAACTGGATCCCAAGAGTTTTATATAATGTAGAGTACTTTAAGGATATAAAACCTATCACCTTGTAAGAGCTCCAATCACAAATCCATCAGCTCCATGCTCTTTCAGAACATTCAAATCCCAAATCATCACTTTCATTTCTTCTTTTGTGTACAGAAAATCTCCTCCTCTTGGTCGTAACATACAAAACACTGGAATCTTTACATGCTCCTTTATCACCTTTAACATTCCTTCAAACATATGAAATAAACACTGTGCCATTAATTATTTCAAATAAATTAAGAGTGACATTAAAACAAACGAAGAATTCACAAAGGGGTTAATGATTGTACATGTAATTTTATGCATGGTTTAAGATTCAGTATGATTTGATGATTGAGGGGAAGGTTGAAATTTTAATAAAAATGAAACTTCTGTCATGTTGAAGTCTAACACTCATATAAAAGTCTGTCGATCATCAAAGTTGTTAAATGTAAAATACTCATACGTTTTTTTTTTTCTTTTTTTTTTTTAAGTCAATACATCTTGTATACAGTTTGTAGTGTAAGTACATGTATCTCGGTACTGTAAATGTTACTGTTGCAAAACTATTATCTTTCTATCTTTTCTTGCAAAATGATAACAAATATGATGCTTTCCATACCTAGGCTAGGTGTTGTACCTCCTTCCATAAGATTTGCACACAGTTCAACCCTAGAGGCACCTGAAAAGAGTGAAAAAGAAATGGCACGCAATGGCCGAGTACAATGTACATTCTTCAAATAAATTTCCTCCTATATGCTTGCTTTATCAGCTTGATTGTTAAAACCTTTCCCCTTATCAAACTTACCGCCTAATTCCGCTTTATATGCGGACTCCACGGAATCCACACACACTTCCATTATTTCAGTCTGATGAATCTGATGTACATACGAGGGAATTCCCAGCCTCGATATGACTTAAATACGCAATTACGCTTGCGCATTGTTAACATCGGCAATAAACTTCCTGTTGGGAAACGTGATTATAAAACATGGTCCTAGAACATTAAGTCTTTGAACACTGAAAATGTTTCGTTGCTGCATATTGCGTGTTCCAGCTGTAACTCGTTCTTCAAACACACCGTTCTTAGTTGCACCACAGCTTCGAAATGCAATAAAACAGGTAACAATTTAGACAATTCAGATGCAACTTGTACGGAGAAAGTTATTTATGATTTATTGGGTTTGTTGGAATTTGTAATGTTGTTTTTCAGGATTACTTGTTACATCAGTTTTCCTACTGAAAATGGGTGGAAAACACTATACAGATTGTAATTTGGCACAAAGAGCCAGACTTGTGAGTGTTTATTAATTTGCCAGTGACTGTATATAAACTGTACTTAATTAAAAAAAAAAATCGGCGTACTGGAACCGCTCATGTATAGTACTACTGCAGCACAGGGTGGGTGGGTGGGTATTGTACGTACCGGTGTGGTGAAACTGAGGGTCCATGTAACAGAAAGTCCACCCTCCATTTAGCTATAATGGTTAGGGTTAGCCTGGCCCAAGTGGGTCAAAATTTAGGGCGAGGCTTACTTGTACAAATGAATGAGAAGCATATATACTCTCTGTCACGTTACACCTGTACATGTACATGTGCATGTACTGAGTACTGTTGGTACACAATGAAGTACGTGTTGCACCAGAAAGTCATTATTGACCTTGATGGCTTGATTTATTAATTGATTAATTTCCAAATTTTGTTTTTCCACAAATAGCCCAGCTATGGAACTTGCAGGTTTTCTACCCTGATGTCAAAACAATGCAGATCGTTAAGACAGAGTACACAGGTAACGACAAAGCGTGCATGTTAATATGCAGAATATGCAAGTACTTCTAGTATATACTTATAGCTTGTAGATATTCATTAACTACATCACTGGTGCAACTTCTCAGTTTTGTGTATTATCTTTGATGATATAAAAATTTTGTTTTTTGATGTTTCTTTTTTTCACACACATTTTTCATGAATAGTTTACTGGAAATTGATTTCTTGTCTCCTAAATTAACTAGTGAAGTATGTACTTCAACTGTGCATTTAAGATTAATTTTAGATTAAATAAGTTTTAGATAAAATAAGTTACCGTTTAAATAAATTAAACATTATTTATTCACCTATTTATTCACCTATTGCAGTTAAGCACTCTTCAGTTTCTAAGGAGAACTGGAACATCCTCTGTGAACAGTACAGTAAAGCAGGGTCTAGCTGATGGACTGTCAGACAGGGCAAGGAAGGCAGTGGGATGGTGGTTGTTTGGGTGTGCTGGCATGTGTTTTGGAGCTGTGGCACTGGGAGGGGTCACCAGGTAAATGATCTTATATTGTATGCAGTACTTATAACTGTATTTAAGGCTGAAGAATAGAAGTTTTCATACTAGCAGGATCAATCTATATCAGATTCTCTGCAAGGCACAGTCAATAATCAGTTAAATTGTCTGTCTGTCTGGTAATATAAAGACTTGGGTAAAGTTCGAAAAACTTTGTTCATGTTGCTTTGCGAGGGGGGTGTTGCCAGACAATTAAGCTGTTTACATTGACTGTGCCTTAGGGAGAATCCCTGCTCAGATAGGCCAATCCTGCTAGTAATATAATATTATTTCTAAACACAGCCTCAAGGTAAAATATCTTTAGCAAAGCTTGATGAGAAAGTATGGATAATTTGAAGATCAATCCATATGCTTTTTCATTTCTAAATTATATGAGACATTTTGTGAATCGAGTGATAAAGAGTAATGGTTTTTTTCAGGCTCACAGAATCTGGTCTGTCCATGGTTGACTGGAAGTTGTTTGGACGGCCACCGCCACGGTCCTCTGCTGAGTGGGAAGAAGAGTTCAACAAATACAAGGCATTTCCAGAGTATCAGTAGTATGTGACAGTTCTGCTTTTGTCCTATATTTATATGAGTGGTATATTGTGTAGAAATTAAATTTTGATATTTTTTTATTGCAGTTACAGTATTTCTGTTCTAGTAAAATACCCCAACAATTTCCCCTGTAAGATTTAACCAAATTTTTGTTCAAAAAGTATTTAAGTTTTATTCAATTCAATTCAAATTCAGCCATGTTGCAGAGAAAGGGGAAATGTCTCTTGGTGAGTTCAAATTTATCTGGTTGATGGAGTACACACACCGTATGTGGGGGAGAACCATAGGTGTGGTGTTCTTATTGCCTGCAATCTTCTTCTGGAGTAAAGGCTGGATCACAAAACCCATGAAACCCAGGATAGGGATATATGGTGGACTGCTGCTGTTCCAGGTAATGATTGTGAAGCTCGTCGGAATTTTCCTGCTTATTGGAATTTTGAATCTTATCATTTCCAGTCATATTGCCCAAATTATAAATCAAAATAGTTTTAGGAAAAATACAGGTATGTGTGTCAATTTTAATATTATTTTGAAAACATTTGATTATGTAGGTCAAACCAATACTTATAGAATACATCAAAATTTATCGATGAGTGAAGTAAATGTGAACTTGGTAGTAACAATCTTATTAATTCTGAATTAGAACATTTATGGCACTATATGCATTGAAAAATTAAATAAAATGTTACATTATATAAGATTCTAAGAACTTGGTATGTTTCTAGGGTCTGCTGGGTTGGTACATGGTGAAGAGTGGACTGAAGGAAAAGAAAGATCCAAACTGGATCCCAAGAGTTAGCCAGTACAGACTTGCTTCACATCTGGGGTCAGCCTTCATCCTGTATTCACTGTTTCTGTGGGGATCCCTGTCTCATCTACTTACTCCTCAGATGGTAAGAAGAAGATGCGCATAAGGGATTGCTCATACTATGCTGGAGTTGTAGTTGAATTCTGGGAATAAATTTATTGAAGAATTTCATCAGCTATGTACTACATACTTTAAGTACAGTTGTTGAAATGAATTTTGTCAGTAGCCAATACTTTGTCTGCTTATGGCCAGACTCCAGCAGGGAATTGGTCTGTGATGGGTGTCAGTGTTCAACAAAATACTGAAAAGTATCTGTTTTCTTCACAATCTGTCACCAAAGTAACTTCTATAATATTATGTGAAAGAATTGTAATTACAACATAGTGATGAATTAGATACTATTTTAACGCATTAGATGTCACTTTCTGTCTGTGTGTAAGGAAGCATATTTCGCATATAAGGAAGCATATTTTGTTTATTTAAGAAGAAGACATTTATGAATGTGTTTAATAAAAAAAATTTTTTTTTAATCATGGACAGGTGTCGGGTGCTATTCCAGGTCTTAGAAAGCTGCAAGGACTGGCCCATGCAAATTTAGCTTTAATTTTTCTCACAGCAATGTCAGGTTAGTGAAATTTTATCCTCTTTGTTGTTTTACCAATTTTGTGATTTCAATGCACAAAACGTTTTCATTATTATTTATTAATTTGCACAAAAAGATCAAATGTGCATGTTTCTCTCAAAAAGTAATAATGAAGTTTCCATTTCTTCATACAGGGGCTTTTGTGGCTGGTTTGGATGCAGGACTTGTGTACAATTCTTGGCCAAAGATGGCTGACAAATGGATACCAGATGATATTTTGGCTCAAAGTCCAAAATGGAAGAACATTTTTGAAAATGCAACCACAGTTCAGTTTAACCACAGGCACTTGGTAAGTTCACATCACATAAAAGTTGTCGACAGATTTGGACTGACAAAATCTTTTCAGCATGACAGAGGCCAAGCCCCTTAGAATAATTATTTGTCTTTTGTGAAATATGATATTGTAAGCATTTTCTATCATTCTGCACACACCAGGACCTGGGCCCCAGATGATAACTCAAAGTTATTTTATAACTATGTGTTTTGGTTCCATTTGAGAAAAGGTATGGTCATTTTTCCACTTACCTCTGTCATTTTGGGAATCAGATCCACATATGCATGTACATAATTTCATATGTTATATTTCATGAGAATGCCATCTAACTTTCACAACAATGCCCAGTATATATAGTGCACATGATAATTAGGAGTTGGCCGTTGCTATGAAGCATTGAAAAACATTGAGGAAGACGGACATATTACTAGATTTAAGGATGAGATATGTGTCAAGCAATGTCTTATACCATTTCTGTCTGTCTGACAGGGAGAGCTAACTGCCACTAGCATCACGTTGTTTTGGTTGATGAGCAGAAAGGTCCCCCTTCCACCCAGAGCAAGACTGGCAATGAATGCATTGTTTGGAATGGCCATGATACAGGTAAGCTATGGTGTTAATTTTAATGGAGTTTTTTTCAACGTGTTCAGTAGCTATCTCAAAATTGTAGTTTATAGATGGGTGTAATACTTACATTTATCAAATATGAAGGTCATCTTGTAGTTATAACCACTGTGCTTGCCTTTAATGTACTAGTACTTATGTACTACATGTATCACACTATTCTGTTTATTACAGATATCTATAGTTGTTACCTTTCTGCAGATTTATGTCACCTATACTTACTACATGCATCCCTATATTCTATTTATACAGGTATTTCTAGGCATCACCACACTGCCGATCTACAGTATGTCCTCTATGTTTACTACATGTATCACTACATTCTGTATATTACAGGTAGATCTAAGAATTACCACTATTCTGACCTATGCCAAGTATACCTACTACATGTACCAGTGTATATATCCTNAAAAACAGCCTATTTCTCATATGCTATTTTAAATCTGTGCTAACAAAGCTTACCAATTAGTTTTTTACATGCTTCTTTGTCAACTGAACCACCACTGCAAAGGAACAACACAGATTAATGTTTTACCACATCATACAGTCATATGAAAGAACACTACTTTTAGTTTGGCACATTTGGCCATCTTGTCTTTTTTCTTAAAATTATTGACATATGCATTATCTGACACCATTATATACCAGTAAGCACTGTTTAAATAAAATACATAAATTCATATACAAATTTATAAAAACTAAAAAACACTGAAAACAAAAGTCCTAATGCTATAAAAACTTATCAATATGAGTTTTATATAATGTAAAGTACTTTAAGGATTTAAAACCACCTTGTAAGAGCTCCAATCACGAATCCATCAGCTCCATGTTCTTTCAGAACATTCAAATCCCAAATCATCACTTTCATTTCTTCTTCTGTATACAAAAAATCTCCTCCTCTTGGTCGTAACATACAAAACACTGGAATCTTTACATGCTCCTTTATCACCTTCAACATTCCTTCAAAATATGAAATAAATACTTTGTCATTAATTATTTCAAATAAATTAAGAGTGACACAAAAACAAAAGAAGAAATCAAAAAGGGGTTAATGAAGATACATGTAATTTTATGAATGGATTAGTATGATTTGATGATTGAGGGGAAGAAGGTGTTGAAATTTTAATAGAAATGAAACTTTTGTTATGTTGAAGTCTAACACTCATTGTGTGCCTTGAAAGGTATCATATGTAGTAGCTTGCTCAACTTCATCCATTTTCAAATCATATTAAAGTCTGACGATCATCAAAGTTGTTAATTGTAAAATACTCATATGTATGTACATTTTTTTAAAGTCAATACATCTTGTACTGTATACAGTTTGTGGTGTAAGTACATGTATCTCGGTACTGTAAATGTTACTGTTGCAAAACTATTATCTTTCTATCTTTTCTTGCAAAATGATAACAAATATGATGCTTTCCATACCTAGGCTAGGTGTTGTACCTCCTTCCATAAGATTTGCACACAGTTCAACCCTAGAGGCACCTGAAAAGAGTGAAAATGAAATGGCATGCAATGGCCTAGTACAATGTACATTCTTAAAATAAATTTCCTCCTATATGCTTGCTTTATCAGCTTGATTGTTAAAACCTTTCCCCTTATCAAACTCACCGCCTAATTCCGCTCTATATGCGGACTCCACGGAATCCACACACACTTCCATTATTTCAGTCTGATGAATCTGATGTACATACAAGGGAATTCCCAGCCTCGATATGACTTAAATACGCAATTACGCTTGCGCATTGTTAACATCGGCAATAAACTTCCTGTTGGGAAACGTGATTATAAAACATGGTCCAAGAACATTTAGTCCTTGAACACTGAAAATGTTTCGTTGCTGCATATTGCGTGTTCCAGCTGTACCTCGTTCTTCAAACACACCGTTCTTAGTTGCACCACAGCTTCGAAATGCAATAAAACAGGTAACAATTTAGACAATTCAGATGCAACTTGTACGGAGAAAGTTATTTATGATTTATTGGGTTTGTTGGAATTTGTAATTTTGTTTTTCAGGATTACTTGTTACATCAGTTTTCCTACTGAAAATGGGTGGAAAACACTATACCGATTGTAATTTGGCACAAAGAGCCAGACTTGTGAGTGTTTATTAATTTGCCAGTGACCGTAAACTGTACTTAATTAAAAAAAATCGGCGTACTGGAACCGCTCATGTACAGTACTACTGCAGCACAGGGTGGGTGGGTGGGTATTGTACGTACCGGTGTGGTGAAACTGAGGGTCCGTGTAACAGAAAGTCCACCCTCCATTTAGCTATAATGGTTAGAGTTAGCCTGGCCCAAGTTGGTCAAAATTTAGGGCGAGCCTTACTTGTACAAATGAATGAGAAGCATGCTCTGTACGTGTCACGTTACACCTGTACATGTGCATGTACTGAGTACTGTTGGTACACAATGAAGTACTTGTAGCACCAGAAAGTCATTATCGACCTTGATGGCTTGATTTATTAATTGATTAATTTCCAAATTTTGTTTTTCCACAAATAGCCCAGCTATGGAACTTGCAGGTTTTCTACCCTGATGTCAAAACAATGCAGATCATTAAGACAGAGTACACAGGTAACAACAAAGCGTGCATGTTAATATGCAGAACATGCAAGTACTTCTAGTATATGTACTTATAGCTTGTAGATATTTATTAACTACATCACTGGTGCAACTTCTCAGTTTTGTGTATTATCTTTGATGATATAAATATTTTGTTTTTTTGATGTTTCTTTTTTTCACACACATTTTTCATGAATAGTTTACTGGAAGTTGATTTATTGATTTCTATAGTCTCCTATATTAACTAGTGAAGTATGTACTTCAACTGTGCATTTAAGATTAATTTTAGATTAAATAAGTTTTAGATAAAATAAGTTACCGTTTAAATAAATTAAACATCATTTATTCACCTATTGTAGTTAAGCAGTCTCCAGTTTTTAAGGAGAACTGGAACATCCTCTGTGAACAGTACAGTAAAGCAGGGTCTAGCTGACGGACTGTCAGACAGGGCAAGGAAGGCAGTGGGATGGTGGTTGTTTGGGTGTGCTGGCATGTGTTTTGGAGCAGTGGCACTGGGAGGGGTCACCAGGTAAATGATCTTATATTGTAGGCAGTATTATAACTGTATTTAAGGCTGAAGAATAGAAGTTATCATACTAGCAGGATCAATCTATATCAGAATGATTCTCACCAAGGCACAGTCAATAATCAGTTAAATTGTCTGTCTGTCTCGCAATATAAAGACTTGGGTAAAGTCCGAAAAACTTTGTGGTCCATGATGTTGTGCATGTTGCTTTGTGAGGGGGGTGTTGCCAGACAATTTAACTGTTTACATTGACTGTGCCTTAGGGAGAATTCCTGCTCAGATAGGTCAATCCTGCTAGTAATATAATATTATTTCTAAACACAGCCTCAAAGTAAAATATCTTTAGCAAAGCTTGATGAGAAAGTATGGATAATTTGAAGATCAATCCATATGCTTTTTCATTTCTAAATTTTACAAGACATTTTGTGAATCGAGTGATTAAGAGTAATGGTTTTTTCAGGCTCACAGAATCTGGTCTGTCCATGGTTGACTGGAAGTTGTTTGGACGGCCACCGCCACGGTCCTCTGCTGAGTGGGAAGAAGAGTTCAACAAATACAAGGCATTTCCAGAGTATCAGTAGTATGTGACAGTTGTGCTTTTGTCCTATATTTATATGAGTGGTATATTGTGTAGAAATTAAATTTTGATATTTTTTTATTGCAGTTACAGTATTTCTGTTCTAGTAAAATACCCCAACGTTTTCCCCTCTAAGATTTAACCAAATTTTTGATCAAAAAGTAATGAAGTTTTATTCAATTCAATTCAAATTCAGCCATGTTGCAGAGAAAGGGGAAATGTCTCTTGGTGAGTTCAAATTTATCTGGTTGATGGAGTACACACACCGTATGTGGGGGCGAACCATAGGTGTGGTGTTCCTGTTGCCTGCAATTTTCTTCTGGAGTAAAGGCTGGATCACAAAACCCATGAAACCCAGGATAGGGATATATGGTGGACTGCTGCTGTTCCAGGTAATGATTGTGAAGCTCGTTGGAATTTTCCTGCTTATTGGAATTTTGAATCTTATCATTTCCAGTCATATTGCCCATATTATAAATCAAAATAGTTTTAGGAAAAATACAGATATGTGTGTCAATTTTAATATTATTTTGAAAACATTTGATTATGTAGGTCAAGCCAATACTTATAGAATACATCAAAACTTATCAGTGAGTGAAGTAAACATAAACTTGGTAGGAACAATCTCATTAATTCCTAATCAGAACATTTATGGTACCGTATGCATTGAAAAATGGAAAAGTGTTACATTATATAAGATTCTAAGAACTTGATATGTTTTTAGGGTCTGCTGGGTTGGTACATGGTGAAGAGTGGACTGAAGGAAAAGAAAGATCCAAACTGGATTCCAAGAGTTAGCCAGTACAGACTTGCTTCACATCTGGGGTCAGCCTTCATCCTGTATTCACTGTTTCTGTGGGGATCCCTGTCTCATCTACTTACTCCTCAGATGGTAAGAAGAAGAAGATTGCTCATATCATACTGGAGTTGTAGTTGAATTCTGGGAATAAATTTGTTGAAAAATTTCATCAGCTATGTACTACTTACTTTCAGTACAGTTGTTGAAATGAATTTTGTCAGTAGCCAATACTTTGTCTGCTTTTGGCCAGACTCCAGCAGGGAGTTGGTCTGTGATGGGTGTCACGGTGTTCAACAAGATACTGAAAAGTATCTGTTTTCTTCATAATCTTTTACCAAAGTAACTTCTATAATATTATGTGAAAGAATTGTAATTACAGCTTAGTGATGAATCAGATACTGTTTTAACATATTAGATGTCACTTTCTGTCTGTGTGTAAGGAAGCATATTTCGCATATAAGGAAGCATATTTTGTTTATTTAAGAAGAAGACATTTATGAATGTGTTTAATAAAAAAAATTTTTTTTTTTTCATGGACAGGTGTCGGGTGCTATTCCAGGTCTTAGAAAGCTGCAAGGACTGGCCCATGCAAATTTAGCTTTAATTTTTCTCACAGCAATGTCAGGTTAGTGGAATTTTATCCTCTTTGTTGTCTTAACAATTTTGTGATTTCAATGCACAAAGCGTTTTCATTGTTATTTATTAATTTGCACAAAAAGATCAAATGTGCATGTTTCTCTCAAAAAGTAACAATGAAGTTTCCATTTCTTCATACAGGGGCTTTTGTGGCAGGTTTGGATGCAGGACTTGTGTACAATTCTTGGCCAAAGATGGCTGACAAATGGATACCAGATGATATTTTGGCTCAAAGTCCAAAATGGAAGAACATTTTTGAAAATGCAACCACAGTTCAGTTCAACCACAGGCACTTGGTAAGTTCACATCACTTAAAAGTTGTTGACAGATTTGGACTGACAAAATCTTTTCAGCATGACAGAGGCCTAGCCCCTTAGAATAATTATTTGTCTTTTGTGAAATATGACATTTTAAGCATTTTATATCATTCTGCACACACCAGGACCTGGGCCCCAGATGATAACTCAAAGTAATTTTATAAATATGTGTTTTGGTTCCATTTGAGAAAAGGTATGGTCATTTTTCCACTTACCTCTGTCATTTTGGGAATCAGATCCACATATGCATGTACATAATTTCATATGTTATATTTCATGAGAATGCCATCTAACTTTCACAACAATGCCCAGTATATATAGTGCACATGATAATTAGGAGTTGGCCGTTGCTATGAAGCATTGAAAAACATTGAGGAAGACGGACATATTACTAGATTTAAGGATGAGATATGTGTCAAGCAATGTCTTATACCATTTCTGTCTGTCTGACAGGGAGAGCTAACTGCCACTAGCATCACGTTGTTTTGGTTGATGAGCAGAAAGGTCCCCCTTCCACCCAGAGCAAGACTGGCAATGAATGCATTGTTTGGAATGGCCATGATACAGGTAAGCTATGGTGTTGATTTTAATGGAGTTTTTTTCAACGTGTTCAGTAGCTATCTCAAAATTGTAGTTTATAGATGGGTGTAATACTTACATTTATCAAATATGAAGGTCATCTTGTAGTTATAACCACTGTGCTTGCCTTTAATGTACTAGTACTTACGTACTACATCACATATATTTACTTCACATATTCACATATATTTACTACATGTATCACTATATTCTCCAGGTATCTCTAGGCATCACCACTCTGCTGACCTATGTCACATATACTTACTACATGTATCACTATATTCTCTACATTCCAGGTATCTCTAGGCATCACCACTCTGCTGACCTATGTCACATATACTTACTACATGTATCACTATATTCTCTACATTCCAGGTATCTCTAGGCATCACCACTCTGCTGACCTATGTCCCCACACACCTGGCAGCTACACACCAGTCTGGCTCTCTGGTACTACTAAGTATTGGGATCTGGCTCATGCAGGAACTGAAGAGGCTGCCCAAGTAAAAGATGTATAAAAGACTGCTGGGAGGTTTTATAGTTTGGCCATAAAGGATGATATCAAATGTATGTGTATTTTGTTTTGAAAAGATATGGTACAGATGACACATTGGCATTATGTTTTTAGAGCATGTTCAAGTGAATCTTTGCTGGAAAACAGTGTTTTTCATCTTACAAGATCTGTCTACTTGATAAGCCAGTGGTTAAAACAAACATATCAGAATGTGCTGGATGTGCTGATATTTTTCTCTGAAAATATATTGTTTCCAAAAGACAGGTATCTTTATTATGAATTTTGAATTTGAATGAATGAATTAATCGGAGTAGTCAGATAGATCTGTTTGAATTAGGAGTGATGAACATGCCATTGTGTACATGTTTGAATTGGTTCAAGCGAGATTTGGCACTGAAACTTTATTGGGAATTAGCTCGTGACCCATCAAAATGCAGTGATAAAGCTTTATTCTTTTCTTTTGGTTGTGAGCTGCAATGTGGTATCTTAATTTTGTTTGCTTGTGATCTGGCAGTGTGGCTCTATTGGTAGTAAGAAGTGTAGCTGTGTGGGTATTGGCTTGCCATGCCACCCAGTGAGATGCAGTAGGCCTGTAACGTGTATAGCTATATTTGGTGTGGCTGAAGGACTCTGCTTTTGAAGTACTGCAACTGTAAAAGGTTTTAGTTTCTGACCAAGGACATGAATTCAAATTGCTTGTGTTATACTTGAGCTTATGCCCTATAGTGTGAGCAGCTAGTTTTTGATATTATGTGTGAAATATGTCATTATTTGATGCATGTTATCTTTTCTTGAATAATGAATTGTTCCCATGGCGATAAATCTCACATTTTTATTACACATTAAATAAGGCTATGTTTCAGGTGTAAAGTGTTGGTGAATACTTAAAGGGATAGTAACTCTTCATATGATATCTATATTTCACATTAAAAACATTGTACACAACTCATAGAAATATAATATATTCTGTTTTACCACAAAAAGTGGCAGTTGTAGCTATTATTCTGATATCTGAGCTTGTCTTCAGATCACGTGATCTCCATTGATGGCTGTACTCTGTTATAATCTCTTAAGAGATTTTAACAAAAAACCAAACTTTTTAGAAAAAAAACCAGGGACTAACTTTGAATGTAGAAATGGATTTATTAACCATTGGTTAATATGGGAAAATTGTTGTTTACTCCAGGAAAATTCATTTTTTGGCCAAAATGAAGAATTATTATCCCTTAAATAACCAGTATTTGAATAAAGAAAATGTTAAGTTGTGGTGATACTTTCTGATGATTGATCTTATTTTTAAGTTTAAAATAAAACTGCTTTTTACTTAAAATTAACTTCAATGTTTGGGAAAAGTGCAGGTCAAGACTGAGGGTCAGCATAATCAGATTTTATCATTTACGGACAACTTTGTGTAAAATAACATTTGGTTAAAATGTGCTGGGATGCCTATTGTGTTGAAATGTTTGTCAAATTCTGGTTGGGGCATGTTTCGTACATTTTCAAAATATTCTCGCATTTGTTTCTTTGTGTCTTTTAGTTTGTATGTGTGGCAGTTTTGCTGTCTAGTTGACATTGATACGTGCAAATTTAAATGTTATTCAGAACATCTTTAGACCATCTTTGTGAAGCTCTCGTCTGACCACTGTAAGTTTTTTTCTGTATTTCAGAGTGCCATGTCAAAAAAAAAAACAAAACAAAACAACTCCAGTTCGTGCAAAAAGCATGTTATTATGCTAACCAATAGAAGCACATTACACCAATCATTCACTTTCTATCACCTCTTCGCTAATAAAGTTTTATTTCCAGCTTTTTAAGATTTTAATAAGAAACTGGCCCCATTAATTTAACTCTGTATGCGAATAAGTCCACATTGCACATACTATAGGATCTTAAAAATGCAACGAGCTTGAAAGGCTCCTTTTAAACACACCCTAAAGACTTTATGGCAACCGTGCCTTCATTGTGACAGCCGCAATAGCAGACCGAGACATTGACCATGAGCCATGTCAACTATAAATAATTTATAAAACGAGCAGGCCATATTTTTTAAACTGTTCATGCTAGTATGATAACAAATTCTTCTGAAGCAGTATAAGAATATCAGCTGTTCTTTAGTTTTATTCACTTATTAATTAGTTTCTTTACTGTCATAGCAATTTTAAGGACCAATATTTTTATATTTGCTAATCAGATCATTGTCAGTCACATTTAGAACTGTATGGATATATGCGATGGCCGTGAAACTGGTACAACTGTAGTTGTTACAGCACTGCAAGCCACTTTTGTGCGCGTATTGTCAAACACTGATCCAATATGTGGATAATGGAGGGTGACTGCATTTTGGAGGCATCCTGAGAGACTGTGGTTGTTTTCATGTCCACTCATAAACTAACACTGATTTTCTGTATATAGGTCCATTTGAAGAAAACAATAAAATAAAGATATATTCGCGAATTCTACTTTTTCTAAAACTCTGGCGAGTGAAAATGATTAAGCTAGCTTTTTATGTAATCGTGCAAACATTTTCCGATTCATGCTTAGCTAGTACGCAGTTGTTGTATTCAGTTAGTTTTGTGTAATGAAAGTTTTAAAAATAAAACATTAAAAAATAACCATTTTGGGTAATATCTGTACGTTTTAAATGCTAACAAAAATTAGACTGTGCTAAAGGGGTATAATGACCCGTTTATTTTACTGATACAGTTTGTCCTCAACTTCAAGCAATTTGCTTTTTAAGAAAATGCAGTTTTGCCGCGTTACGTGTAAACACTTGACTGTGCCCTGTCACCATATCTTTAAGCTAATCATGGATGTAACCTAATTTAATGATATAAATATTGCAAAAACATCAAACAACTTAATAGTGACCTGCATCAAAAGACGTCACGAAGGCCCTTTTTATCAATTTTTAAAAGCATGGCGATATAGATAAAGTAGCCGCGATATATCTATTGCGTTGTTTAAAATAAGCATTCTAGACATTTATTTATTAATTTTTTTTATTCATTCATTCATGTGTTTATTTATTTATTTATTTGGGGGCGTGCAAGAACTAAAGAAAAAACAGTGACAGAGCACAAGTACACAGGATGAACATAATTATACTTGTATGTCTATTCAACTAACAACTGAGACTTGACACTGCACTACCGCTTTTAATGACGCATCAGATCGTGATGTTTTTAACAGACACACTAAGTTGCTTTCATATATTAATGCACCCCAGGCCTACATATGTGACTAGGAGATAAGGGCCCTACCAAGAAGGATGCGGATAAGGTAGGTTTCACGTATACAACAGTAACCGAAAACAATAATTATTGTTCAAAATATTAAGCGGCCAGTACTACGAAAAGAGATGTACCCCTTTAATACTTGTACAAGTAGGTAGTCAGATCTCATCAAAAGACTTCATATGATTGAATATAGATACACGTTTTGAGTTCCTTGTATATTTTTTAGGTTCGAAACGTGGATCAATTCATTTGCTTACATGTATCAAGGAAGCAGAAAGAATCTATCCAAAAAACATACAGCTAAATACCTTTGATGCACGTGTCATTTTCAGTAACACATTTTCAGGAGCCAACATGAAATGGCAGTAGGACTACGAGGAAGTGAAAAACATAAAGTTGACAAGACAAAAGAAAAAAGATCAAAACTTTATGCTACAAGTAGTTTATCTTTATTTACAGGGCATATTCAGTGGTTTTGGTGATATTCGTCGTTGCCGCAGGCTTGCTTTTGTTACACACTGGCACATTCCTCACAGTCCCTTCGAAGAGCATTATCTACACCACCGAAAAAACCAACCAGGGAAATTCCCAACAGCTTGGTATACCAAAAATCATTCACCAGATCTGGCACGACTACAGGGTTCCCCAAAATTGCGTTGAATGGATGAAAAGCTGGATGCAGAACCACCCTTCGCCTGAATGGGAATACTGGTTCTGGACCAAAGCCGACTGGGAATATTTGATAAAAACACGATTTCCTAATTTCTACGAACACTATCATGGATTTCGTGGAGAAATATTTCGTGCTGATATCATACGGCATTTTATTATGTACGAAATAGGCGGCATTTATGTTGATCTTGATATTATTAATTTGCGCACAATTGACGACTTTATTCTGAATAAGTCATGTGTTCTTTCCCTAGAGCCTTATGAACATAGTTTCTTTCTCTATGAAAAACCCGACGGATTGGTCAGCACAGCAATCTTGGCCAGCAGACCTCGTCACCCTTTTTTCAAGAAAATAGTTCACGAATACCAGAGAATCTCCCCTCAGGATGAGAGGACTGAGCCAGACCCCGTGGGCGTAACTGGACCTGTGAAGTTTGATAGGTTATATCGTGAATATCTCAAGTCTAACATGACACGATATGAAGACCGAATATATTTGGCGGATCCCAAATATCTTATGCCAAGTATCGATAAAGGGCGTATATCGGAAATCCAAGTTGCATGTGAAATTTCTAATCGAAAAGTGACAAGTACCAGTGAAGTTGTACAAACTCAGGAACTTTGTAAATATCTGAAAAAGCATTCCTTTAGGCCCCCTTTACCTTCAACGGCATATTGCGACCATCTTTGGATCCATACGTATTTAGTTGGGTATCATTCGGGTTACTCTGATGTCCACAATATCGCATCTAATATATCTGTGCAAGAAAGATTAAGGGATTTACTTTAAAAAGTTTAAAATTAACCATATGGATAGACAATATTGAATTGATCTTTAAACACCCGATGTCTTTTTGTTCCATAAATTTTCAAAAATCAAACATGTATAGCATAACCCATTAGAGACACATTCAGTTTTGTAGAAAGAGGTTTTCGCCTATTTCCCACTTAATTATATCATTAATAAGAAAAGGACAATTGACAGAAACAGAAACAAAGAAAAAAGGAAGTTGCACAATTATTGGTGAATATGCTTGTTTTTTCTGGTAATAATAAGAAGCCGGCTCTTTTTTTCGTGTTTATTACTTTGAATATCTGTGATCATTACCTTTAACTAGAAAAGCAACAACCAAATAGCAAACAGCAGCTTTGTCAATTTGACATCTGACGCAATGTATATTATATTAACTTGTATATTAACTACATTAACTTGTATAATGTATATTATACTAATATCTGGATTGCCGATTTTCGACAGAGACTGATGGTATTTGCATACTAATAATTTCGTTTTAAGTTTTTGTCTTCATGACTGTAAATGAGTACATGTATAAATTAATATTAAAATAAGAGGCAGGGAGAAAATATAGTGATGACAAAGTTTAAATGTATTTTTTTCAGTGAAAGACGATGAATGGAAGGATCCTTTAAAGTCAGTTGGTATTTCTCAATCTGCTGAGTTAATTGAACAAATCAATTAGTGAAGAAATTTTTTTCAAAAACTGTACAGATACACACACACATATATATATTGTAGTAGTAGTAGTATTTATTTCAGAGAAGATATGATATGCAAAATATACGTGTATAATGTGAGCAGAGCAAAATCATTTCCAGCGTAGTGTGCTGCAATATGGCTTTATACTATTTATACTAGACAGCTGTAATAAACATACTCTATATACACTTTAAGACAAAAAATGCCAATTTTAGAATAATAACGTCTATTTGTGGAAGAGTATATATATATATATATATATATATATATATATATAGTAGCGTGAGCGGTCTCGTGAGCATACCTCGCTGCATTTCTCGTGCTCCCAAAAAGCCGCTATACAGGATACAGAGACAAAGTTAATCCAAACATTTCCGAAAAAAACTTATCTTGTGACCTCTTTATACTCACATCTTAAGTTACAGCCGCCTTATGCTAAAACGAACTGCGATTAGAAGATTAAAGGCCCCTCTGTATAATCGCCTTCGAAAAGTTTTGAAGAAAAAAAAGAGCTCAAGTTGCATCAGGTTGCTAAAAATTAAAACCCTCTCATTGAAAAATCAGTATTTTTCGAAGACATTACTAAATTCTTCTTCTGATTGCTTTTTATGCCAAAACCGCATTCAAGAACCTCCAATGCGCAATGCAGCTAACAGTAAGTAACACTTGTTTTAATCTCTGTATTCACCATAGATCAACAGTGCCGAGTTTTAGGTCGCTCTAGGTCGCCATCTTCAATCCAGTTCCCTGCCACAGCCATACAGATAAGTACGCTGTACGAAGTACCGGAGATCGCGAGAGACTGGTGCATTCTGAAATTTTAAGTATTTAAACCCTTGCTGAATAGCCGAGGGTCCTTGTGAAACTGACAGTGATTCCGTCCTCCATTAGATTAGTACAGGATAAGATCTAATAAACGGATATATAAACGGTATATTAGATCTTAGGTACAGGTTAGGGCTGGCCTGTATAGACCAATGGGGACTGGACACTCTATCATTGGGACTCTCTGGTAGAACAGTAATTAATCTGCGTGCTGTTTATACTAGGTCCAATTACATGCAAGTATACTAGTATATTGCTGTTCGAGGGAATCATGGCTAAGGTCCCGATCGTCAGCCTGAACCAGGAACAGTCTACGCTGGTTCCAGAAGTCATGAATGCCCTGCAAACCTTCGGCTTTATGTGCGTCAGCGACCACGGTTTGAATGAAGACATCGTAAGTGATATCCCCCACTAAGATCTCGTATGCTTACTTACTTCAGGGAATTATATCGTAGACTACGATATAATTCCCTGCTTACTTGGAAATAGTGGACTGAAATTGGTCAGATTATAGTAATATTGCAATTGCTTTACATTTGGCATTACACAGGAAGATGATCCTCAGAAACATGAATACGAAATATGGTTACTGCATGATATGTGATTTTTGTGACTGTTCTGCATATTATCATTATTGTGGCTTGAAAGCGTCCTGTATATTATGCCAATGAAAAGGCATACAACCAAGAGAAAGAAATTTACTGCACGTCTCTGAACTTTATCCCGCTGAATGTACCACTACATCTTACATTACAGTATTTACACTATTTCTTACATATCAGCAAACTTATTTGGACTTATCACTAGAGTTATCCTACTAGTTTTGACTACCGGAGATATGTGACAACTGTTATCAAATTCGACATTTTAACCTGCACACATCATAGGTGTACCAAAAGGAAAAATACATAATAATCTATAACGAAATATTCCAAAAAAATTCCAGCGAAGACGAAAGATTTCATCTAGTAACACCAGTATGAAAACTGGGTGCAGTAGATTTAACACTATATATTATAGAATTGGTTTCTTAATATTTTGTCTGCAGATGAACAGAGCCTTTCAAACATCAAAGAGTTTCTTCAGTCTACCGACAGACATAAAAAACGCTTATGCATTGGGGAAAATAGACGGTCCCTACAGAGGCTATGCAGGCTTAGAGCTTGAAAGGTATTGCTGGTGAAAATATGCTCTATCTTGGAAAATGCTCACCCCTATGTCGTACTATAGGAACATTCTTGATTTATTCTTTCTATTGATAAAATCCGTATAGCATTGAACCGTATTCCTTATTTCCGTGAAAGTAATATGAAACCCGGTGCATTAATTGTTACTAAATTTTAAAATTTATGAAGCTTTTATTTTACCTAATTAAATTGAGAGTTCGCTCTTACTGTGTATTTTGAACTTTATTTTTTTCTATTTGTTTTACAGTTTAGATCCTCTGAAACCAGCTGATTTGAAAGAATCATTCAGTTTCATACCAAGTTCACAGGTAAAACGTCACTTTTCGAATATCCGACGCTGTGTCCGAATCTTATCTGTCAAAAACAGGCTACTGACCGCTTGATTTTCAGGGATCTCACTGGAGCCTCACCTGCCTCTTTCGTATTCAGGATGTGATACAAGTATCTGAAGCTCAGGGTGCCGTTATTATCGTGGCACGTTTCCAGTCGTCACTCTCGGCCTGAGAAAATCTCTTTTTCGCCAAAACGTACTGCCCCATTGTCTCAAATCGTGGCTTCCTGGCGTGAAATGTTGATTAAGATATGGTGCAATTCTGATGGAAAATTGTTAAGAGAAGACACTTAAATCAGATTGTGTTAGGTGTACATTACTTGTCACATCCAGTGTTTCAGCGTTGAGCACAGAACAATTTATATCGAAGCACGACAGTGGATGTTTGTTTATAGCTCATATGGGGTTTAATGACTTTTTTGCACAGCATTATTTTCAAAACAAGTCTATGACAAAATGTAGTAACTTGTGTGATTAAATTGGAAAATTGATTACTTGTGTGATTATAAGAATGATATTTAGTGACGTATTGACTTTTTCATCTAGGCTTTAGAATGGCCCGACAGATATGTGCCAAACTTTGCCATCGATATGATGACGATGCTTCAAAACACAGCAGAGCTTGGATGCCAGATACTATCGTTAATTGGTGAAGGGCTTGGGCTGCAGGTATAGATATAGTATTACAAAACTGCATACATGTATTTTTCATATTCGCTATGATTTTTAATCAGCATTAGGTAATTTTTAGAAAGTTTAACTAATTATCGAAGACCATACACACATACTGCCCAAAACAGTATTTATCACTTACTATTTATATCAGCGTCAATTTTCTTTTTATGTTAGTGTAAAAAGTACCTGAGGGAGTGTCACAGCTACATGGATTTCACAAAAAACCAAACCGCGATCCGAACTTTACACTACCCGCCTGCAGGACAGAATCGCGGTAAATTGGTGACCAAAACTTCACCATAAAACCTCCCTTGATCTCTTTAAGCTTGTAACAAGGTGTTCCGATCATAAATTCTTAAAACCCAATAAAGAAAGACATGGACTGGATGTCAGAATAATAAGAGAATTAAACAGATAAGTGAAAGGCATTCATTAGGATCAAAAGATTAACGCAAGGCTTACCTCTTTAAGTGCCGTACAAGTAGTCTAAAGTGTGTCTGTTGATCACTTTCCTTTTTTTTCAGAAGTAAAATTTTAATGATTAAGGAATAAATGAGATTTTTAAAAGCCATTCTCTTTTTCGCAGTGTTTCAATCAGGTCAACTACGTTGTGGAGAACACGCAGACTACGGGAGCCTCACACTGTTGTTCCAAGACTCCCCGGGACTTGAGGTGAGGGACGGTGGGGAAAAAAATTATCCAACGGGTGGTAATTGCAGTATCGAATCGAAAGTGACACATTCAAGCATCAAGTCCTAAATCCACATCTTTTTCGTCTTTTTATTTATATATTTGATGAATTTCCTCTCATGCATACGCAGCTGATGTACACTTGTATTCTGAAAGCAAGACAGGAACTGAAACATTTTCTTTTTTGGAATCTTCTGTATGAAAAAGAGAATTTAGGAAGTAACTTTGTTTGAAATGATTCAAAACTGGGAGGGGGGATTCAAGGGAGTTATTTTTGAAGCACTATCGGTTCCCGTTGTCCATTTATTTAGAAATTGTGCCAGTTAACATTAAACTTATTTATGACAGATTATGACCGAAGCTGGCAAATGGATCCCTGTTTCCCCCGTGGCCGGAACTGTAGTAATCAACATTGGTGACATGCTCCAGAGATGGAGCTCAGACAGATTGCCATCGACCGTGAGTATTTAAGTTCATGCCATATCCTGTATGTGTTTTTCACAAGCCGGAATAGCAAATTTGCTTACATAAAGGAGAAATATCCTGTATTTTGAAAGCGTCTGTTTAATCTGAGTGATCATAACTTTCCAGTATTGAGTGCTATTATTCAATTGCCATCATTACAAAAAAATAACATCGCCTAGCGCTGATGTTACATGTATAATATATGAAGCCAGATGTCCCATAGGCTGTGAGATGAAATGAAATTGTTTTACCTCGTCAAATTAATAGAACACACTCAGATATCGGTATTTCATTTTTCCTGTAATAGAGACATCGAGTCACATTCGGTGGGAAAGAGGAAAAAAGCGTCCCTCGGCAGTCCTTAGCGTTATTCATGAACCCGGATACGGACACAGTGATTCGGTGTTTAGATGGATCTGACAAGTATCAGCCAGTCACCATGAAAGAATACTTGGCCATGAAGCATAAGGCTGCATACTGTTCAGACTGAAATACCATTTCTGCATTTAGCTAACACACACACTACTACAATGCTGTAAGACAGCAGTAATGGGTATACTAAGGATTTATTACCATCCAAATACTTAATATGTGGTTTTACCTGCATCTAAATAATGTATCGATCTTTATGCTGATTCAAAACCATAGAAAACCCCTCGAAAATGTAAAATATCGTCGTTTATATTTTCGATTGCTATGTACATGTAGCATAGGCAACTCTAAGCTTTTATCGTCAATTTAACACCTTTATATTTAGAGGTGACATAACATTCGATACGGAGCGTAACTTCGTCCCTGAACAAGATTATATTACAAAAACTGGCATAGTTGACCACAACCGTAGAGACTTCAATCCTGTGCCGTCATTGGGTTTAATTTTTTTTTTCAGATTTTTATTATACAAAGGCATTATTTTGCTTTATCTGAACTAAGGCTTTTAAGAAAAATCGCTGGCAGGGTTTTGGAGTACTAAATGTTGTCTTTAAATTGGCGTGAAATGGTGTTCATGGGTGCTCAGATAAAGGAGAAATTTTATTAACTGTTTTTTCTATTTTTACTCAAAAATCCCAATTTTGACATCACCCGTATACTGGCATGTGTGTAAATGTTAATAAATTTTGTCATTAAATACTGAAGATTTATCTGTTACCCAAAAGAATGTATGTAAGGCAGTAAATAAGGAGTTTTTGGAAAACGCTCACAGCAAACAACTTATTACACATCAGAAAACATTTTACACATTGAAATATTTATTCAATATATGCTATAGGAACAACAACAACGACAACAAAAATAAAATTCAAAATTTTAATTGTTTAAACAACTTCAATGTTAAAAAGCTTCCCTAGCCTTTCCTGTATCGATATATTGGATGCGATGTCATAGACGTTAGAATAAACCAGATGGTTACTATTTAGATACGTATGGATCCATAGATGGTCGCAATAAGCAGTTGAAGGTGGAGGGGGCGTAAACCAGTGCTTTACCAAATATGCACAAAGTTTTCGAGTTTGTTGATTCTGGCTTTTATCTGTTATTCTTCGTCTTAAATTGTTACATGCAGTTTTAATTTCACCTTTGCGCACTTTGTCGTAACTTGGCATAAGATATTTTGGATCCGCCAAATATATTTGGTCTTCATATCGTGTCATGTTGGACTTAAGATATTCGCGATATAACCTATCAAATTTCACAGGTCCAGTAACGCCTACGGGGTCTGTCTGGGTCTTCTCATCCTTAGGGGAAACTCTCTGGTATTCATGAACTATTGTCTTGAAAAAAGGGTGACGAGGTCTGCTGGCCAAGATTGCTGTGCTGACCAGTCCATCGGGTTTTTCATAGAGAAAGAAGCTATGTTCAAAAGGCTCTAGGGAAAGAACACATGACTTATTCAAAATAAAGTTGTCAATTGTGCGCAAATTAATAATATCGAGATCGGCGTAAATACCGCCTATTTCGTACATAATAAAGTGCCTTATGATATCAGCACGAAATATTTCTCGCTGAAATCCATGATAGTGTTCGTAGAAATTAGGAAATCGTGTTTTTATCAAATATTCCCAGTCGGCTTTGGTCCAGAACCAGTATTCCCATTCAGGCGAAGGGTGGTTCTGCATCCAGCTTTTCATCCAGTTTACGCTTATTTTGGGAACTCTGTAGTCGTGCCAGATCTGGTGAATAATTTTTGGTATCTCAAACTGTGAAGTCTCTATTTCGGTCTCTTTAAACCTGTAGCGCGCGCACAGTGATGGGACTTTAAAGAACATATTTAACAAAACCACGGTTGCAGCCAAGCCTATAGTTAGCAAAACCAATAAATAAGTCCTGTAAATAAAAATGAGCAATATGATGCATAACATTTTGGATTTTTGTGGCGTGGTTATGCCAATCTTGTTCCTTGTCTACGCACATGCAGGCCTTCTGTCACTGCACGTGGGTCTCTGAAAATCTGAAACTGAAAATGCAGTGGCAGATATAGAGGGGGGGGGGGGTCAGGGGGGTCCCCTCTTGAAATTAGAATTTCGACTAGCTAAATCATAGTTCTTAACCGTACAAAATTGCACCGTTCGCTCTCGCCAAGTGTGTGTGTGTGTGTGTGTGTGGTTGGGGCGGTTGGGGGGGGGGGGGGTCGGCTTGCTTCGCATCCGCAGACTCCCTCTTCAAATAATCCTGGATCCGTCCCTGAAATGCCACGTGCCTCAGTATATGCATTACACTCGACATACTATTACTATAGACTAACGCACAGACGTGCTGCAGTAGATCGTGGTTATTTCAATATTAATGGGGTCTCGAAGTACTGTATCTCTACCGACGAAAGAATGACATCTATCATTCAATTGCTGATAATGATGTCTTTTTGTTGTTGTTGATGTCTGAAGAGAAAAACTGCTCCAATTTAGACTCTTTCACAATCGCACTAAAATATGCTTAACTCACTTGTTTTTTTTTCCCTGAATATTGTAACAAAATTATAGACAGTCGACAACAAGGATGCTTTATCTAGACCGCTTTAAATCTCATCATAATCGGCCATTTAAAAAGGATATATAATACCCTACGCTGTATAGAATAAACTTACCTATTAGCAAACCTCATCCCTGTTGTTAGTTCTCTTACCTCAGACTAACAAATCTTGCCCTGGGTTATATATATATATCTGTACGTATTCTCTCGTATACATGTATCAAGGCAACTTAACGTAGGCCTACATACCACTACTGTGCATGTATATGAAAAACATCACGAAGTGACGTGTCATCAGACGAGGTTGTGACCTCCCCCTTTAGTTTTACGAAGTTAGTTTACAATTTATTCCAGATCCTGATTCGTGTTACTTTGATAATGTGATGATGTGAATTTAAACTACGACATGAGCTGCGACCACATGAATTCACATAACACTACAAACAGTCTACCTCTTCCTTCCCCTCTTTTAAATGAGTATCTTTTTTTTCGGCCCACGATCATGAAGCGAGATAGCACCTCAACCGGATTTTTTTCTTAGTCATTACACGTATTTACACACCATAGCATGGTATGGGCGAGAAGCCGACTGGAGAAGCCTAATATCTACTGTCTACATAATGTATCCATTTTGTGCGCTGCAGCAAGGGGCGCTATCAAAACATTCTTCCCCAGTGGCTCAACCTTGAATAAATTGGATTTTACTATTAGGCCGACCACCCCAGACGAACTTGAAGTAAATGCCTACATACATGTATGTTTGGTTTGGCAATTCAAATTAATTTTAAATGACGAACAAAATTTATTCATGTGATAGATGATATATGGAACGAAGGCTATCATTAGAAATAACCTTGAACAAAATGTCGTGATATCGATCAGGAAGAGTTTAATACTTGCACAACTACGCATCGATAAACGGGTATTCTCGTATAATTTAATTAAAATCGAATCGATTTGTTTTTGCTCGAATTAAGTAGGCCCTACTGGCGCCATATACTAAGCACCCTCTATTTTTTGCCAAAACATCGGAACGCGTCCCCACATCACCCTGATAGTTAAACCGACAGACTCGTCAGAGATACAGCCTGTGACATAAAGTTCTTGACTGGGATTTAGCATAGGCCTACCTAATAGCTTTTATCTTTTTCGAGAGCACATTAAGAATCAGTCAACATGTTTCTGAAATAAAACTTTTTCAATGAAAAAATAAAACTACATGTCGCCTACTACTACTACTCGTGACTACTTACATGTAGTACAACCACAACTACGGTACTACTATCTTACATCACTAGTACATGTAGGCCTACATGACACCGAGATGTAGGGGCCTACCTGTAGGCTACAAGTCCGACGAGTAGGCCCACATGCAGGGACCAGTAGGTCGAGCAGTCGGACGGTCACACAGCTTTTAACATTTTTTCGATAGGCCTACAACGGTTAAAAGTCTAAACATTTTAAATATGGCAAATTAGGCTAATTAAATTTTATTCAGTCATTAAACACGGGTTCATTTTGATAAAAAAAAAAGACGAGAAGATTTTTTTAATATTTTGATTTGACACTGGATAGAGTCGCTGTAACGTGAAGGTTGGGGAGAACTACAGATATTTTTGAGGACGCTAGTAAAATTTGTTGTGTTTTTGTCGCATACCGGGTAGGCCTATATAAGGCTATATTCATATATATATATATATATATATATATGTACGGTGCGCGTGTTTTGGGACATGCCCTGTAGCTTAAAACAGAATGCGGGGGACGGGGGTCACTAACACACGACGTAAGAACAGAAAAAAAGCATCATCTTGTTCACCGCTTTGAGCACTATTTGAAGAAAAATTTTAGAAAATACGCATTTGGACAGCACTTGCATTATAAGCTACAGATAAACTTGAAATACAGATAAAACGGTGATAGCACCATGGGAAGCGGAGTAAGATCATCAATGGCACTTATTTCTTTCGCGTAAAATACAGTGCGCATTTGAACGGCGGTGACACGCATTACTTCCGGCTTGGGGTGTCCGCTGCTCGGTTTCATTAAATTTGCAAATTGTGACTATGTGTTAACCCAAAGAAGTTATTCATTGCATATAATTAGACACACAAGACATATCAGAGTATTTTGGTAAGTGCTTTATTATTGAACTATGGAGGTATTCTTAGAAAATGTACATTATTTCTTGCCTCGATAACTGTCTCCCCTCCCAGCTACGCTGCAATGTGCATATCAATCGTTAGTGTTGAGAGACAGTAGTCACTGTATATGTAAGATCAATTGCAGGTCATGTTATGTTATCATAGCAGTTGCACGTGATATTTGAATTGTGTAAAATCTTCAATTATCTCTGAATATGTTAAAATAAATACAGGTGCCTCGGCTTATGTTTGTCAACACCGTATCTTAGTCTCTGGTGCAGCGGCCCGCTGAGACGAGGTTTGTTTACATTTGTGGGTAGTGACCCAGGAAAAAATTGTCGACGTGGGCATGATGTCCACTCACTCATCTGGAACTGCCCACTGTCCAATGCGGGTCATATTTTAAAGTCTCTTTTATTTGGGCGGAAGGGGTGTTTCCCTGCCAAACGTGTCATCTCAACGTGTACTTGTTTCACACCACATATTTACACAGTATTTATGGATTTTATATTTGATGTATGATGTCCTCCAATTACTTACCTATCACGTCATACCCTTGTAGTAGTATCACTTATATCTTTATTGCAGGTCATACTGCTAATATTTAACATTATAATCTTGCTCAGCCACCAGTGCCTTTCTCATTTAATTGGCCCTATTATGTATAAAAGATAAAGCAAGGCATTATTCTTATACATGGTTTGGGCAAGTGGAGTCTCATGAGTACTGGCAAGTCGACTGTTGCATCTGTTACTATAGACAACAAATGGTGGTTTGTCACATGCCATTTGCTATATATGGGAAGGGACACAGACAAGGAGGCCTATGTACAGTATATAACAAGTAGTCAGTACCCAGTTGTTTTACCATTTGCGTGACGGTTTACAGTGCAGAAGCATTGAGTGTGTAGCGGCTACCAAATAGCTCAGCTCTTCATTTCACACAGGACTCTCTGAGGTACTGCATTGTATCACCCAGGTGTATTTATCTGTCTTAAAGAGTTTGGTTTGAACTTTTTGTGTACAATGGGAAGGTGTATGTTAAGTGTTGCATTTATGCATTCAAAGTTTTATGCTGATTCAGTAACATTTGGTTTATTGATATCAGTGTCTGTTATCTTATGTGTTTGGACAATGTTGAGATTAATAATTTGACATTAAAAGTTCGGATAACTTACACAGTATTACAAAAATTAGTGTAGAATAGTTGTCATATTTTATTCTTGTAAAATATTTTTCTGTCTGTGTATCCGGACTGAACTTAGAATTTCTACAAGTGATTTATTTTTAATGCGATGCCTCTTTTATTTCAGTAGACATCAATCATGGATCTGGAATCACTAAGAAAAGAACTGTCAGAGAATGGACAAGAACATCTATTGCAGTTCTGGGACACTTTAGATGAAGAGAAAAAACAGTCCCTATACTCTGACCTGAAAAATTTAGACTATGCCAAAAATAATATCTACTTTAAGCGCTGCATGGAATCCCTGAAGTTGGCTGGAGAGAAGTTAGATGACCACCTGCAGCCACCGCCACCAGAAGTGTGTGGAAGTTTTTTAGACACTGACAAAGAAACATTGAAAAAATATGAAGAAGATGGTAAGTTGCATAACTTTCTCATTTATGCCTTTTTTANGAGATATTCGCGATATAACCTATCAAATTTCACAGGTCCAGTTACGCCCACGGGGTCTGTCTGGGTCTTCTCATCCTTAGGGGAAACTCTCTGGTATTCATGAACTATTGTCTTGAAAAAAGGGTGACGTGGTCTGCTGGCCAAGATTGCTGTGCTGACCAATCCATCGGGTTTTTCATAGAGAAAGAAGCTATGTTCAAAAGGCTCTAGGGAAAGAACACATGACTTATTCAAAATAAAGTTGTCAATTGTGCGCAAATTAATAATATCGAGATCGGCGTAAATACCGCCTATTTCGTACATAATAAAATGTCGTATGATATCAGCACGAAATATTTCTCGCTGAAAACCATGATATTGTTCGTAGAAATTAGGAAATCGTGTTTTTATCAAATATTCCCAGTCGGCTTTGGTCCAAAACCAGTATTCCCATTCAGGCGAAGGGTGGTTCTGCATCCAGCTTTTCATCCAATTTACGCTTATTTTGGGAACTCTGTAGTCGTGCCAGATCTGGTGAATGATTTTTGGTATCTCAAACTGTGGAGAAGTCTCTATTTCGGTCTCTTTATACCTGTAGCGCGCGCACAGTGATGGGACTTTAAGGAACATATTTAACAAAACCACGGTTGCGGCCAAGCCAATAGTAAGCAAAACCAATAAATATGTCCTGTAAATAAAAATGAACAATGTGATGCATAACATTTTGGGTTTTTGTGGCGTGATTATGCCAATCTTGTCGCCTCAGAATGTTCCTTGTCTACGCACATTCAGGCCTTCTGTCACTGCACATGGGTCCCTGAAAATCTGAAACTGAAAATGCCACGTGCATCAGTATTAAATGGGGACACCTATACTCGTATATGCATTACACACGACATACTATTACAATATACTAACGCACAGACATGCTGGTTATTTCAATATTAATGGGGTCTCGAAGTACCGTATCTCTACTGACGAAAGAATGACATCTATCATTCAATTGCTGATAATGATAAGTCTTTTTGTTGTTGTTGACGTCTGAAGAGAAAAACTGCTCCAATTTAGACTCTTTCACAATCGCACTAAAATATGCTTAACTCACTTGTTTTTTTCCCTGAATATTGTAACAAAATCATAGACAGTCGACAACAAAGATGCTTTATCTAGACCGCTTTAAATCTCATCATAATCGGCCATTTAAAAAGGATATATAATACCCTACGCTGTATAGAATAAACTTACCTATTAGCAAACCTCATCCCTGTTGTTAGTTCTCTTACCTCAGACTAACAAATGTTGCCCTGGGTTATATATATCTGTACGTATTCTCTCGTATACATGTATAAAGGCAACTTAACGTACATACCACTACTGTGCATGTATATGAAAAACATCACGAAGTGACGTGTCATCAGACGAGGTTGTGACCTCCCCCTTTAGTTTTACGAAGTTAGTTTACAATATATTCCAGATCCTGATTCGTGTTACTTTGATAATGTGATAATGTGAACTTAAACTACGGCATGAGCCGCGACCACATGAAATCACATAACACTGCACACATTCTACCTCTTCCTTCCCCTCTTTTAACGGAGTAGTTTTTTCCGCCCCCC